GAGACGATATGGTAGTTCAGACCAAGCTGGAGTGGCAGATATGGAGGACTTGTACATTCAGCTACCTCACCTTTATTTCCTATCATTTTGACGTCATTTTCGTTTTGTTTCGGATTCAAGAGCCACTACAGGTACTTGAATGTTTTGATTATTTTTGTACTGTGTTCTGCAAAGTTAATGGCTGCAAAGATGTTTCCAGACTACTCTCAGCTGGCTAAAACCATACATGCACCAATTACTCAATCGTCCCTTGATATATATCACACACAAGGAAATGGTTATGGCCATTATACCCCCACTTATGCTGTAGTCAAACCTAGTTCGTCACGTAAAACTGGCTTGTATCACTGCGCGACGTGAAGACTCCTATCTTATGGCAAAAGAAAAGGGAATGGGGGGAATGTTTTATTTGTCGAAGGGAATAAGAGTAGCTGAATAAAGCTAGGCTATAGAAGCGTCGGGGTTAGGGTCAATAACTAGCATCAGGGACATTATTACCGTAGACACACGTAAAATGTAGTGGAATTCAACAAAAATTGCTCATAGCATTATAAGTTCAGTGTATATATTAACGTGTCCCCCACATTCTCAAACTGTGTGACTCGAGTCAATTCAGCGTATTCAGCTGTAAAAAAGTATCGTATTTCCATGTACATAGAAATTCTCCGATTATGTGAGTGGATGATGTCGGTAGCGTACACCGATGTTTAACAAGCAGTAAATAGTCTTTTATCTGGAGAAATGGTTTAAAGTTAGTGAGGTTGTGTGTGAATGAAGAACATGCCCATAAAATAATAGTATACAGTGACTAAGTGGGGGAAAATTGAGTCAGTGGGACACGAAGCTTGGTGCCCATGTAAATCATACGAGAAAGTGGTCAGGAGAGATAACTGTGCATAGGTCGAGTGAAAGTGATACTTCCTCACAATTCTGTTCATTCTAACAAACAGTGCTATGAGTGGACACGATAGCCCAACCTTGATTACGTGCCGAAGCCCCATTGCGCTTTGTATTTGTGGGTATAACACGGTTGTCAAGGAACTGATGGGTAGCCGTGAAATGAAGGAGTCTGTCATGTGGATGTTGGAACCGAAATGGAGACACGCAAGTGCAGATGCAAAGTGGGAGCTCACTCCATAACTTGGTACGCTGTACTTAAGTTTGGGGCGGTATTTGTCAATAGGTACAGTACACTCACGATTGCGTATACTGTAAGAGGACGTTGGATTGGAAGTAGGAAGAGCAGCAAGCGTGAGTCACGCCGTGTAAAGTGAGAAAATAAGTTTATGTTGAGCCTCAGACGTCTGAGCTAAAGCGGGCCAATCTCCAGATTCTTATACCTACTTTCATAATCAATTTATTGCTGGATGTCAAGTACACGGCGTGCAAACTTTTTTTGAACTTCCTCGGTATGTATCCTATTCTAAGCGTACGTATCCATGGAAATGACTGTTCCATGCTCAATCACTGGACGGATCATTATTAAATAAATAAATATTCTATTTTCAAATTAAGAATTTAACGAGCCAGTTTATAAGCATTATCAAACCGATAATGATGAAGAAATTTCCATCGACTGAGCTGTCCTGGCGCGACATCAAAGTTTATCATAATGTCAAAAGTGTCTGCAGGTTGTGAAAAGAACGAGAAAGTATCACATTACAGTACACACAGATTGTTCACGAGTTCCGGTCTTTTCTATTTACCATTCTTTTTTCATAATAAAGTGGCCCCAAAATCGTACAATATTCGACCTTTGCGTTACATGTGAACAAGATGCTTAACCCAGTGGTATAGTTCCGTGTTTCGTCAGATAAACTTTTATTTTAACATCATTTCACATGTTTACAGCGTCACCGGCCAACAAAAACTCACTTTATCGACTTCAGGTGACAGTAAGTGTTAGCATAACCATATAATCCAAGTGAATATGTAAGTGCACGCATTTCCTACTCGTAGCGTGACCTTACACAGCAATACAGATGTAAGCCACCAGAATTAGTTGTTGCGGTACATTTGAAGGACCATTATCCAGTAGTCGTGGAGTTCTACACGTAGAATTCACTTTGAAGCGTGCAGAATTATCAGGGAGGTATACTGACCGTTAATTGTCATCCATCCGACGGAATGAAATGAGCTTAAGTACTGGGGAGGTTTGTTGCGTGGGTTTGCTTGCAAATGTGTTTCATTTTCAGTCACCAGGTGAGTTTACTACTTATATTTAGTTGTCTGTTCCTATTCTCACTTTCAGGGTGACCATCCAGAAGCCTTGGACCAACTGTTTTCTTATATGGTAGCATTTAGGATGTTGGTAAGTAGGTGAGTTCACCGTGGAACTTTCCAGAAAATTAGAAATCACTGGGGAAAACCAGGTGACGAATTTTTTCCATTAACTTCAATAAGATTATGCATATCGGTGACTTGATATGTTGATTACTTAATACCAAATACCATTTTGTAAGCTTTCATGAATTATCAATTTGACCATGCTCGCAAACCGGTACCCCCATGTCAAATCTATTATGTGAGGACAATATTTATTATGATCTAAACTTTAACGCTCTTCATACGCTGAAAAGCGGTATTTTCCTGTTCGTATCATAACTAGTAGGATCTGTTGTTTTTAATGGAGTTTAATGACGTTTCGTCCGTACTATTCAGGACTCATAAAATCTTGTAGATAATTCTGTATATATCAATATGATGATGCCCATAAACTGGCTTCTCTCATGTTAAGTTACTAATGTGAGAACGAAACGTTTGTTCGTTTGCTTATTGAAATGATTACCCCATATCTGTCGAGAATTTTTCAGCACACATCTGAATTGCACAGTTACAAGGTAGTTTTGGTACGGATATGAAAATACAGGCAGTAGAAGTAACCACAAGCCAAGTACCATTAGACTTCTAGGTGGTTGTTTCACGAGGGCCCACCGGCCTGTTTTGCCCGTGTGTGGTTCCAATTTTTACGTAGTGTTTCCGGAATACCACCACTTTTCTTACTACTATAAATGATTCTAATCCACTTGCGCAGACGATATAAGACGTGAGACAAGGCGACATATATATCTGGACCCGGAGATTACAGCAGAGGGGCGGATTACAACTCCGGGAAGGAGATGAATCTTCTGTAGCAGGACAGTTAAACTAACTTTTGACAGCGTGGTTAGACTATCTGGAAAATAAGATTCCTCTGCACCATGCATTTTGAACAGCATGATCACACATTTACTTGTCAAGGCATTTTATATGAAAACTAGAAGTGAGGTAAAGACAAATACGGCGTAGAAGATTTTAACAAAAAGTAATACACGAAAGGGAAATGACAGGATTTGGAGACAACGTTGGCAATACGATGAGATAAGCATTACCAGATTAGGTTTAGCACAAGGACGAACCATTTTCGAAAGCTCGACCAAGACTGAAGTTTGTGTATGGTTAGCACTTCAACGGGCCTATGTATGCGCCCCTGACGGCTTCCGTAGAAAATTGTGAAGGCCGGTTTGTTGTCAATCCTACGACTACTATAAGTAACGTTTTAGAGAGGACGAAGACGGCGGTTTGCCACTTGCATCTGTCAATGTTTGTGAATTTGGCTGCTTTTGTGGCCATTTTAACATACATTACCTCACTCTCATGTGGATGTCTCGATTGGTTCTCTCTTTTCGTTGTATTTTTCAAACAATCTACTTCTTCTAATTGCGCTAGTCAAGTTCACAAAATCGACTAACAGGTTCAAGTTAAACAAAGGTCGAAGGGTTTAACTCGGATCATCGAATACCCACATCATCAAGATAACATTCAATGATGACAACAGGACACAAATGGAAAATACACTTTACCAATCCTAAACTTTCCGCTTATTTTCGAAGCAGTGAAACTGTGCTCCCACGAAAATTACTGTCCAATAAGCAAGAATCACCAATTCCATTCACTCATTTGACCCTCCCACCATACGAACATATATCAATCTTCGAGTTACTCAAATTTCTGGACGGTCATAATGGCATCGGAAATCTGGAAAGACAGTAAAATCCAGAAGATCAACCCACCTATTAACTTTAAAGTGAACATATTCACAATAATGATATGCAACCGACTTCTCTAGTGCGTCGCCTAACTGAATATGCGTCCTTGACAATGCTACATATCTTAACGTGAACAATATGGAAAATCCATGGCCATTGGTCCGCAAATTTTTCAAATATTTATTTCTTTGCACCACAATATCTAATTCCGACGGCGTAAATCTATATTGCTGTGAATGATAACACTTGAATAGATATTCACTTGGATTGCATGATTATGCGGAAACGTACGGATTCTCGACATCGTCAGTGTGGGTTCTTCTGGTACCTGAAGCCATAAGCATGAGAATTTACGGTAAAATAAACGTTTATGTAGCGTAACAGGGTATCACGAAGACGAATCAAACAAGTCGACTGCTTGTAACGGAAATTTGGAATTTCGCACGACCTTGGTGCCACTACTGGCGAGAAAAGAAAGTATGACTGAAAACGATCCAAACTTTAACACTCTGTATACGCTGAAAAGTTGTATTTTCTTGTTCAGTTCATGACTTGTCTAATCTTCTGATGTTTTTAATCTAATTTAATGACCTCCATTCCGTAGCATTCAGGTCCCGTAAAATCTTGTGCATTTTCCAACATATATCAAGGCGCTGATGCCTGTAAACTGGCTTCTCTCATGTCAACTTAGTAATATGAGAATAAAATATTCGTTTATTTATCATACAAAACATCTGTTACGGGCCTAGATTCAGTCACAGATATGAAATGCTCTTTGGAAGCCTTCTAAAGGCTAACTCGGGCTTCCAGCTGGGGACGGTGAAGAAATCGACTCTTATTTCCTGGCAATTTCAGTGAGGAAGACAACGACGACAGTACTATGATTACTCACCTCTAAGCCCTGAATTAACCTGGAGAGTGACGGCTGAAACGAAGCTTAGGGATAGTCTAACCATCGGACGAGTGTCTTACCCTGCCATGTGTGCATAACATATACAGCAATGATATTTGGCGGTGGTTGAAAGTGAAATGAAAGCCCACGTCGCGACAGGATTCGAACCAGCGACTTTGAGGCTAACTGTCTAGTGCCCTACCAACCGAGCCATGAGAGCCGAGGGATGATTTCTGGGGGGTCCGACCGTCTGCCATGTGATTTCGTGAGGCATTATTATCGGTCGATCGTTTTCAAACTGGTCACTCAACCAAAACTTCCCATCACGAACCAGATAAACCTGAATCGGCAGCTGTAACTCATGGTTCAGTTGGCATAGCACCGGGATGGTAACCTGAAAGTCTCTGGTCCAAGCCAAACCACGTCTCCGATTTTCGCTTCGTCTTCAATCGTCATACAGTATCGGCATAATTATACCAATCTCAGACAACCAAACTGACGTACACTGGCACCTGCTGAATGCACACGCCAAGCTTCTAAGCTGGCAGTAGCTTTTTGGGTGGCCAATGAGGGTAATTTCATTCTGTGTCTGATACTGGGGCATATCTTCGGTGGCTTAACGTGAATCACAACCCATTTCCGGCTAGCGCGGGTTTCTGGTACAGTCATGGAGGGTTCGCTACCTTTTAGATGCCCTCTGGGACTCACACCCGGCCACAAATGCACGGCGGCTTACTTAGTTACTGACGGAGTTCATATGTCTCAGACTATCGCTCCATCTAAAGCACCTCCCCGGACTATGATCGCCCCTTGGCACCTTCTCATTTCATCTAGCAATTTGTTGGTTGTAGAGATCGCTGCCCTGAACTGGTCGACCCAGTAGAATTGATTGTCTCCAGCGTTGCGCCTGATCATCGGACCCGTCTATTGGCAGAGGCTATGCTAACAAGATACCAAGAAAATGGCAGTTGCAGCTGGTTGTGGCTCTCAAGAAGTTTTCTGTGATAGATATCGACCTCGGGATCTTGAAACGTATTGACGCTCGTCAATGCTTCGCAACTGGTTGAGAGAACAATGGTGTGCGCAATCCCTAACGCGAAACACCAAGCGGTATTTCAGTAAGAACTGAAACGCTTGGAGAGGAAGACGCACAAGTGACATGGGGAGAGCATCAGCACCTAAGAGTGGAAGCCTTTCCAACTTATTTGAACCACAAGGAGGAAGAGGCCTGGCGTCAGGGGGACGGTCTGCAGATCTGATACTGCGCCAGTGTGCAACCCCAATGGACTACGGGAACTCCGGGTAAAGCACTGCGGAAAGCTGTCAGGGTGGCTTATTACCCAACAGCGTCAAACTTAGTACCGTGTGCTCCATGGTCACTTAACACCCATGCACTTAGTAAAGCGGATCCCTCGGGAACTGCTCATCCTAAAGTGCCGAAAAACACCCCCCAAGAAAGTGACCGCACTATTTGCGATGATCATATCAAGATGGAGCCACCGTTATACTCATCATTGCAGAAGCTCTGTGTGATGCAAGTGGCTATCCTCAGTACATCAGCACGCTATTGGCTGCGTGTATATTGTTGGCAATCATCATACTTCGCGCCATCGAAGTGAAAAGCGCTCCTACAAGGTTGACTGTGGTCTGCCCCTGTGCCCAGCCACGGTGTAGAAGCGTTGAGGTTTTTTGAGAAGGCTTCACAACTGGATAGTCGCATGATGGGTGGAAAAGAGGTGAGTGGAGAGATCTCAGACTGCATATGTAGCATATCGAGTCCTTTTAGGTTCACAACATTTGGTACCCGTACATCAGAGACAGGTTTGGGGATAGAGATAAAAATGATCATAGTGCACCATGCTGCTCAAACCCTTAAGCTTTTGATGGAATACACTCAAACTTTAGCCTTAAATCTAATTCAAGAGGACTTTTTCTGGATTACCATGCAGCAATGCGCACAAAAATTCATACCAGCGGTTCCATTAGATATGAATACGTCAGGAGTGAAACTCACGCCCAGTGGAATAACGGCTGCCTGGCTAAAACCCTGGGAAATTATTTTGATTTATGTTGTGATACTGGCAGGAATGACAGGAAAGAAGGCATTTCAGGTGTATATTTCCAAGAGAAATTCCGTGAGAATTGTGAAAGTGAGTATTAGCCTATACTGGTTTTTTTATTTCTTTTGCAACCCGATAAGGGACTAATAAGGTAGAACATCTCATGGCTACAACTGAATCTCATTGTCACGGCAGTGTAACTCCAGGAACTTCCAGTTTTATACTACTGCAACGTGAAATAGAAGGATTTGGAAATTGTACAAAGTGATAAAGTTTATGGAAGGCCGAATTTATCACATCTGAATAAATACTCATCTAGGTTATCTATAGCAGAAAGGCGGCGGTTGGTGATACGGCTACATGATTGCATTCAGGGAGATGTCAAACATTAAGAAAAGTGTTTAGTTTATAACAACCATTAGAAAGCAATTTCAGCACTAGGCTGATATTGTATTGTATTAACCAGGAAAATAAGGAGATTTCAGCATCTCATAAAACGGACAACGTAAGTTTACACATTATTCAGTCAACAAGTCAAAACCCAAAATCTGATTTCGCTTTTGTTTTATTAGATACTTGGTTTTCAATACAACGTGGGTAGGTTGAATGGCTGCTATTTTGGTTTCCGATCCCTAATTTGGATAATTTTGTGGTCGTATTGGCGGGAATCTTTGTTCAAGTACGTTTTGTACATAGGTACTTAACTTTTTCGCCGTCAAAGACGTCTCGTTTTAAGGTTCAAATCAAAGAGTATCTAGTGAAACTGGTTACTAGTCTCCTTTGTTGGAAATAATTAGTCCAGCGGCCTGTGTCGATTGTAATAGTACGCGACTCTGTAAAGATTCACTTTCTGTCAGAGAGCAATCGCGTGACGTGGTGCCTCTACTTATTTTGGTATCAATTCCCGGTCGTTGACCACCAGGTCCGAGTCCCATTCGTCATCTTTTTTCACCGCGGCTTCTGAATCCTATCATGACAAACTCTTAAGTGATCACTTATAGAAGTAGGGGGAAAAGATGGGTTAACGCTTAGTTCGTTTTTAAAAGTAAGACCTTCCAAAATAACCTTTTCTTTAGCGCTCTGGGGATTGTCTTGTGGAATACCGTCTTTTGTTGCTACATGCATCACAGGGTTTTGTATGCAAATTAGTAAAGGAAATTCTGTCTAAAACAGTCTTTTTTACGTTTTGAGCAAAGAACGTAGTTTCCACAACGTTAGTACAGAATTTCGTGCCTCATTTCCTTGTCATAGGTAAATGGTTCTCATGTATTTTTCTAGTTGGTCTACCAGACTGCTATCTTGATGTAGTACTTGGACTTGGTTTTATGACGATAACTCGACCTGTTTCGATGGGGACAGTTGTTGCTTAAAGGTCTGTCATATCAGATATGCCTGTTGAATGGTGGTCAACTTGCATGGTGTGACAAGGAGACTAAGATTGTCTTTGTGCAAGTTTGTCAGTGACTAACTGATCTTAATAGTGTTGAGACGAAAAGAATCCACTGTTGTGGATTTAGTAGCTTGTGCTACTGTGAGGACCCGGTAGTTAAGTCGTTCTGCTAGGTCAACGAAATGACAGCATTATAGTGCTTCTTGCAGATCGTTGGAAGTTACTGTTGATCTTACCCTCTCCATGGTGACGTAAAGGTTGGCCTTTGAAATAGCATATTCCCCACTGCCCTGCGGTATAAGTTTTTCTTGTTCGGCGTTACCACAACTGATTATCAACCCAGTGATCTGAAGAGGTTGTGTGATGTGTGATGTCCTGTGGACTCTGTAGTCACGCAGAAGTTATTCTTTTTCCTCATGAGGTAGCTCACTGAAGCTGCCACAGTGTAGTCAGTCGGTGAGTGCTAATTGGACACACTTCTAGCAGTGCATGAAACCCAAATAATCATAACCTATTTTTTTTATCGTTTCTTTTTGATCGCCTTCCCATTCTGATACCATCATTGAGGCCGTTATGATTTCAACCCATCCAGCAAATGTTGCTAGCTCTCGAAGCCAGAATGAAACCATTTCTTGTTTTCAAAACCGCTTTGCCAGTTTCATATTGGATCTTCCGACCCTTGAACTCGTTTTAAACCGCACAAGTGTCTCTGTGATCCCAAGCCTTTGATGTATGTTGAATTACCCAGACCTTATACTTATCTCGTGAAGATTCACTAGTTAAGAAGTCGTACCAAGTAAAGCAGGAAGTTCACTTCTCAATGAGATACCAACGGAAGTTAAGATGATACAAAACTGCCAATTTTATTACAGTAAAACTATCAGATAGTCATGGTAGCAGGCAACTTAAACGTTCAAGTTGGGAAGCTGAGTCAGTCAGAAGGGCATCTGGGAGGTATTTACGGTATCCCATCCCAAGAAACAGAAAACACTTATCATCTCTCAATTTTGTCCTGGCAATCACTTGTTCAGCAGTAACTTAATGAGATGTGTTTTCGGACGTCATACCAACGGGAAATAGAGATAGGTCGTATTGGTGAAAGCTATCGTTGGAAAGGATCAATGGAGAATTGCTATTCTCTTCAAAGTATCCGCATGGACTTAGATCACATGTTAGTGCAGTCACTCGTCTGCTTCTTACTGGTCTCAGGAAGCAGCAGTCAGGCCTTTTCGCCCCGTTGAAGTAAGGGGCCATTCAGTGTGTTTGAGACTCATTTATCTGAACATGGTAGTTTCTTCCTTATAAAGCCTGGTACCATATTTAGTCAGCTGTATAAAAGGTAGTCAAGACAGCTGGTCAACAGAAGTCAATGAATTTCTGCAACATCCAAACCGATTGATGCGAAAAGATTTCAGGCTGCTTTGACCAAAATAGGGAGCGAAAGCAGCTCAAATACAAATTGACTAAGAGTTTTCTCGATAAACACAAGCAGCAGTGGGTGACGAAAGGGATAAAGAGAAGAGTTAGTATCAGATGATGCTCGACAATTATTTGAATACTAGTCTTAAGATGATGGTTAGTGAGACCGCTGAAAAGAGGGTCCTTGATACTTTCTCAGGATGAACAGATATGACGTTAAATGGAAGACCGAAGTACAGTTTAATTAACGCACGAACGCCTCAGTTGTATAATATTCAGCCCTAACCTAAATATGACGTAGATGTCATTCTTCCGACTCTCCTCAAAGTTCAGAAGGCTATCTTTAACCTAAAACAATGCAAAGCAATTGAATCTGATGGTTTACCACCGTACGTTTTTGGGATTGGGGGTGAAAAGATTGAGTAACGAAGGTACCAGGTAGTGTACAGAAATCTGAGGTCTCGGCAGATTAGTCTACTTCACTGATCATTTCAGTGTGTATGAAACAGGATGAGTCTCATGGTCTCCATACTGGAAACAGTCTAAGTAAGATCGTCTCCCAGGTCCTAGGGTCCATAGTTATTTGGTGCTACAGGTTTTGACAACAACAAACTTGAAGGAACCGGGTAGATGTAAGAAATGAACGAGGGTGCATCTTGCAGTCTTCATCCTTCGAAGCCGACCGACACTTGCCAAACTCTTTGACCTGAAGGTAATGGTCGACTTAGAAGTACTGTTGCAGTTTGACCGTAAAGTGAGTAGCAAAGAATCACATTATGCCATTCGTAGACCTCAAGTGGAATTCACGTAGGTAAGGGCTTTCGGAGAGTTGTCAGCCGAATTTACGACAGCCATTCCCATCGACCAGGAATGTCTGCTGTCACCATTCCTGTTTCAATTAAATAGACTTTTTCAGTAACCATTCGCATATTCATGCACTTGACGGTGAGCCACACCTTCGTTTGAAAGCTAGTGGTTCAAACTTCGATGGATGAAGCGGGGCTCGAACCAGCGACCCATTAGTTGGAATTCAAACTTCTAGATTAGTGAGACAGGTCCACACTAAAGAACAATCCTAGACACTGACATTAAATGGATTATCTTACTCCCGGGAAGGTATCTGGTGGGGTTGGAGTATGCGGATACGTTTCCCCTCTTAAGCTGCCTACGTAATGGAGTCTTCTAAACTCCTTGAGCAGAAATCTGAACATATTTGGTATTCGTTTTGCACCTTTCAAATGTTAAGGGATGCTTGGAGACTGGTCCGTTATAACTCCTAGAAAGCGAAATAATAAGATGCGTTGATCACATCACTTTCTGCCACCGACCAGATATCCAGCTACTTATTGAAACATGAATATACTGAGTGACCAGATCAAGATGTGTCATCATTTCATGTAGTCTTTAACTGTTGGTTTAGATCCGTCTAAGGAAATTTAGACCATATTGCTATGGTCCTCTACATAATCAAAATCAAAAGACTTAGTAACATGATTGGAAATTGGTTACTATGTTGCACTCCTACGTCTTCGAAAGTTTATACATTTTCCTCATCTTTTTTTCATCACATGGGCTTTTGTCTTCTTTGATACCACTCTTTCTCCACCCACTATCTTCGCATGCTGCTGTGAAATGTGGTAACTTGAACCGACATATTTCCTTGAAAAGTTTACATTGATTTGTCTTTCTTTGTGGTCGACAACAAAAATTGTTTTTGGTCAAATTGCTACTTTCCTGTGAAGGAAGGTATCTGATGTAATGACTAAGACAAGTGATTCCTCCAGTTTTGTACCGGCCTTAACAGCAGCAGCCATCAGCTGATGCCATTGACTAGTATCCCATAGACTGCAATCTGCTGTCGTAAACGACATGCAATGGGTATAGAGTTCGACGATGATGCAGCTGGGATTATCCACACGAGCATACTGTCCGACAATGAAATTCGTGAAAACGTTGGGGTTTGAGAGGACAGCTAGTGTTTAAACATCACTTGAAAGTACCTGAGGACATCCAGAGAAAGCTGGGAGTGCATCAACAGAGAAACCAGTTGGTGTACCATTCGAATGGTCTAGTGATCTAAACGTATGCCTAGTATTTCTGCCGAGACTTGGAAGGTCAAAAGAACATCCCATTCTATATCGATTGAGGTAGATGTAGACCAGCTATTAGATCCCTATTAAATAACGATTCACAAAAGATCAGAAAGATGTCAGAGACTTTGAATGCTATGTGAGGTCGCAGATTTTGTATTTTGGCTGGTAGTTTGGACTATAGAGTCAAAAAAACCTGAACTGCAAGATGACTTACTTCTAGACCTGGGATTATCAGTGTCAGCATTCTGGCAATTACTTATGGAGAATTCGATTGGTGGTCATGTTAAAAACGTCATTTGATTTTGACGGTAAGAAGCAAATAAGTAGAAATTTTCCTCTGATCAAGTAATGTCATAGGGAACAGTGAAGGTAAAGGAAGTTATCAATAATGTACAGGATAGGAATACAAGAATCCAGCCCGATCGGTCTCTGAAGCATGGAATTAAGAAAAGGGACTGGCTGAGTTAGATAAGTTCAAAATAAAGCCTCCAAGTGCTGGGTTTCAAGGTGGTGTGGTCTCGACAGCCAATGTTGTTGAAGTCGCTGTACGTAAGTTGGATGAACTATAAGGTAGGATAACTGTTAATATATCACTAAACAACAGTACTCAGAAACCACTCAGACTGATCTATAGGTTTCACCATATAAATCAGAGTGATCTAAACACCGGATAACCATTTCGCTCGTTTTGGGTTGAGCTCATCACTGGTGCACTCGGATAAATTCACCTTAGAACCGAACTGTTCTGTTCACCGGAATATGGCTAGCCGGTATGCCTTAAGTAGGATGATCATTTTGAAATTCGACTGAGCGAAATTCGTCTGGGTGCGCTGTCGAGGAGTTCGGCCCCAAGCGAGCGAAACGGCCACCCAGTGTTTAGATCACTCTAATTTGACTGATGAAATTTATAGATCAGCCTGAGGGGTTTCCAACTACTCAAGTTCAGCAGTACATTTCTTTAGTCCATGGAACTTTTGTGTCAGAGATCGTATTTTGTGATCTTGGCTGGAATAGGGTGGTTTCTAACGAAAACTCTGTTAACACCACAGTTGGGTAGTGGGAAGTGCCAACGTAGACCGTGCAATTGGTAAATTATTTGCGAATTAATCATCCTTTTCAGGTCTGTTCTTCCTTTAGGAAGACAATATGTTGGCTGGAGTAATATCCAAAGGTTGGAAACCTGACGTTGTAACAACCATGGAAATACGGCTACCGTCCATCCATCCATCCAAATCAACGTAGGGCCAGGCAGTACTGCCTGTCAGAGTTGGCACAGCTCATATCAGTACATCAAGTAAATAGGTAGTGAAGTGGAAGATGAAGAACAGAAAATCTAGTCGAAAGAAATATAAATTACTAAAAGAGAGAAAGGAAGAATGAGAAAATGGTCAGACTCATATACGGTTACCGTTAGAAGTAAACTACATGCATAGCAGGATGTGACTACATAAAGATTGATAAAAGCAGTCGTAAAGATAATGGTATATTATTTTCAGGAAAGTATAATAGTATTTCCGACGGGGTCGAAGATACATTCCTGGGGGTATGTGGGAGTTGCAAAGTTTTATCCCGGTATCGTGAAAATCCGAGTCATGTATCGTAGTCCTGACAAGTTAACTGCGCTAAACTGCCTGCGTAGACGGCGCACAAGCTGTAGGTGCTCATTAGTGGGGAGCTTGGAAAAAGTTCATGTTAGTTTCTCTGTAACAATCTACTAATATCGAGTGTCCTCTCCTACACGATGTAGTGATACCTACACACTCTGACCCAGAACGAAATTTTGCTATCGTGTTTAGTCTTCGCACACCAGTAAGCGATTTACCTACGATGGGATCCAGCGCTCGCAAGTAGTGGTCACTTCGTTAATGCCTTCGCATTTGGAATCTCCGTGGTTTGTGACCGGACTCTCAACGTAGTCTTTGACAAACAGGTATCTTGGCAACTAAAGGCATTATGACATCAGTGGATTGATCCGTGAATACAAATAGAAATGTCGAGAAGGTTTGGGAGAAAGCTAAAACTGTACGAGTATCGCATCTTTCATCTCTTGCCCAACCATAGAAACTACATTGACTTTCGACAGAAATATGATAAAATATCCACTTTGCCGTCTCATGGTAACTTGGATGTGTTAACAGGTCAGGACCCTGAGAAAAGCTGAAAACCCATACATCTACTTCAGTGCACTTTTCTCAGTGGTCAGTAATACCTAGATGTCAAGTACTATCACTATTGATGTCCTCAAAAAGTATCCATTTCGGAGGATGGGGTAATGGTAGATGCTACTCAGTAACCTGAACTCTGGTACGTTATTGGATCCTAATGGAGAATATCTCTAGCTGTCTCTAGCTTTGGTTGACGTCATTCATGGATCAGCTATATGGATACTGTATGTTGATTTGCGACCGACAACTACCGACTGTTAATTCATTCTTTCATCTGTGTTTGGTCACTGTGGTTAGTTAATCCGTTTATATGTTCGGGTAGTTAATCCTAAGGAACATGTGCATCTTCCAGCTGATTTATTTATCCTTAGCAGATTTAATCCATCTTGGAGATATTATTCGAGCTGTTCTTCACTTAGAAATAGTAGTCTGGAAATACATCAACGTACAGACCCAAAATATGACTGTCTTATCCATTCTGGAACTAGCTCACTAATAGTGGTGTACTCAAACAAGTTCGCTTGTTAGTTTGACCCAAAACAGAAGAATTGTTCAGCATTTAGATCACTGTTATCTGGCATGCGAATTCTACAGATGTGAGTGGTTTCTAGCAAGTGGCGTTGTGTTAGATTTTCTTAATTCACAATGACCACTGGTTTAAACCGGATCGTTTCCGACAAAAACCCTATTGAAACAGTTGCAGCGGATAATTACTCAGCTGTAAGAAATGTAAACATAAACCTCGCAAGATGTAAGTAATATGCTAGTAGACCATGCAAAAACAGATTGTGGGCCTCCATCGAATAAGATAACTTTGAAGTGGGATGCGCATACCTAGCCACTGCATACTATGAGGTGCGGTGTTAGCTGAAGCAGTATTGAATGCCGAGAGATGAGACCTAAGCATGGCATCAGTTCATGAAATCTCTGGGTATTAGTCTAAACTATATAAGTAGGTGTTGGCTGTCTGACCTAGATCCTCAAGGCGATATGAATAAATTATTGGAGACTTGTTAACATGATAGAGTCAATCACAATTGTGCAGATTTATGCACTTTTCATCATCACCTTCATGTATTTGTACTTTCTCTCTCACTTTCGTCCACTTAAGTGCCATTCAAAATCTGCTGCTGTGAATTGTGACAACTTGAACTTCTCTACTGGGTCGTACATTGATTTGTCTCCTTGTTTGCTTCCGGTCAAACGAATAGGGTTCTTGTAGTCACTGTTTCTGTTTGCCTCATCTTCAGAAATGATGTATAAGATCCAAGTAACTGCATGCTACACAGTTCGATTTTCCCTATGCGAAGTAGCTCTGCACGAACGCATCACAACTCAGTCTTACTGTGAGAAGTACATTATTTGACTATATTATGTACTCTACTTTGGTGACTGCATTTGTCGGTTTGAGATCATTAGAAATATGCACACACCCCAGTACATAATTGATGTTTTTAGGAGAGAGCTCCGGTGTTTATGTACATGTAAACTGGTACACAATAACTGTGGACACATACATAAGGAATAGTAATCAACATAGTATCGAGGCTTCGTTTCTGAGAGCCCATATACGAGCAAAAATTGATCAATTTCTGTTCAGTATAATACCTAAAAGAAAATTGCAAGCATCGATAAACAAGTTCTTAACTGTCATGTTTAAAACTAATCTTTGTCTCAAAAGCATTATCTATCAGTTACTTAAAAATGATTGTTTCACATGCATGTTCTGTTCTACTCATATTTCAGGATATAAACTCTGTTTCGTAAAACTTAGTTTTAATGATTGATTACTTCTTTTTCAGGATGACTACTGAAGAAGCTGTTGTTGAGGAGATCAATTACGAAGAGCAATATGGGTATGTTACTAAGAGTTCTGTTTAGTTCAGGTTAGTGTATTTCATCAACATTTGTGAACTCAGCCCACATCCTGGACGATTCTATGTGATTACTAGCTAAATAGTAATCTCTTGTTCTGTATCTCTATCTCACAACACGCTTTGATATTTCCCATGGAAGTTAATTTTTCTTAGCTGCATAGACATTTGTGATTAGATTTATTTCTTACCGCCTTTTCAGGGTGCTTATCGAAGAGAATAAAAAGTTGAAGATTGATATTTCAAGTTTACAGTTAAGCAATCGAAGTCTTGTCAATCAAAATAGGGATGAAAAGAAAAAGGTTATGGATTGTCGTTTGCAGATTGCTGACCTAGAGGGACGCCTAAAAGCGTTCGATGCCACGAAGCAGGAGTTAGCTGACTCTCAAGCACAATGTGAACGCGTACGTATGACATTAGAAAGTTGTGAAGCTAAACTAGCTGATGCCGAAAGACGTGCTGATGAAGCATCCGGTTTGATAAAAGTAAGTGTGAATTATTGATAAGATTATTTATTTTTTTTTCAGGTAAAGGATAGCATTATTGTGAAGCAAAGCAATTTCACAAAAGAAATTGAAGAACGCTTACGAAATATCACTGAGGAACGAGATAATTTGTTACATAAAACCTCTAATCTAGAGATGGAATTAAATGCAGCTATAATTAGGGGTGAAGATGCTGATGACTTAAAAGAACGTTTGAAAGCGTTGCAAGAACTTTTTGATAATTTAGTCAATGAACGGTAAGATAACGTTTTCTTGATTGGTTACCTTTATAGTTCTGAAACGACTAGTGAGAGTGGATTAGCTGCTGCTAATGACTATTTCAAATCTGAACAGGCTAAATCTGAAAACCGTATAGCTGAACTTAAAGAAATAAAGAGTGGATTGGAGCAGAAGATTGAAGAATTATGCGATGATAAAAAGAAACTGCAAATGCAGGTATGTTTACTGCGTTATATTCATTTGTATATCCTGAGTTAGAAATATTTGGGCAAATCTCTGTTTATATCTGTTTGATGATGTACTTGTAATTCTCTGTTGTTATACTGGGTCAAATTTTTCGACCTCTATTGGCATGTTGGCTCCCATGCGGATACTTCGATATAGCCTGAATGTTAATTATGGTAATTCACTTGGTTGTGGCTAGTAAAGGATTCAGTAAAACACCGGATAATTACGAGCATATCTATAAATAGTAATCACTAATACCCGTTGTACAAGAGGTGGCTATCGTGCCTCAGTGGCTTAGTGTGTAACGCTTTGGCGTTTAAAGCGATGGTTGCGAGGTTCGAGTCTCAGTTGGAACAACATCACCCACTGGGGTGCTGGTACATCCAACTGTCGAGTCCCAAATAGGACGAGACGTGCATCCTGAGTTCCTCTACTAGTCACAACTAAGTAAATCCTCTCTTTATTGTACTCATTAAGTTAGTTCATAAAGCTGTAGACAAGTAGTGCATCATTTTATTCGGTGCACAGTTTCCAACCTGTGATTCATATTTTTGAGCCTTACTTCATCTACCGGTGTTTGGTTACTCAAGTAGTATCATTAGTCTTACAGTATGCATGGTTCATAGCCTACTCTATGTTTTTTAAGATGTACACGATTGGTTGATAAAGCTATAAATGTATTTTATCTGTCGAGTTACATTATGAATGCTTAATGGTTCTCATACTGCTTGTCGATGGTACTGATTAGAAATATTGCAAGCTCATATTGAGGCCTATTTCTAAACAGGGAAAAATGTTGGTAAATAGCCAACTATGCCAAATTATTCTTCTAATGTTACTTGATGACTAAAGAAGTTTTACTGTGCACCACTTGAACCTGGTTACATTTGATCTCAGTGATGACTAGTTATATGAGGACTTTTTATTTTGTTTACTTATGCCTAGTTGGAACAACAACTGGATGAATACGAGAAATTGGGTGAAAAATGCGCAACTCTGGAAGCACGCATCAAAGAAATGGCTCATTCCGAAAGGAGATATGGTGGTGGTATGGTAAGTAATCATTTTTTCCCCTTCTATGCTAAGCCTTGCTTCCTGACGATAAGCATAGGTGGGCAGATGAAGACCCAAGCAATTTAGAACCTTGCCTAGAAGCGCATCAATTCAGTCCACCACATTTCACCAAAGCACACACAGAAAGTGTACGGAAATTGAACAAAAAGTAAATGTGAGAAGAAAATAATAAACGAACCCTCATAATATATTCATAAGTTAGAAAATGGGAAAAAGTGAATGCATGTGTGCCATTTTTATCAATTTTGGGTCATTCTTAACATATCTAGCAAATCCTAATCTGACAGTCTGTACCTCATTTCGTGATTCAAACCATCAATCTTAAGTTTCATGGATTCGTATCATGAGTTCGTCTGACCATCTGCACTTTTTTTGCTTCAGCTAACATTATACTTTACAGTAGACTAGTAAGCAAGTGTATAACACCCTGAGGCACCTCAGTCGTTGCATTTTTACACCATATGTAGTGAAAGCTAAAGTGATGTCTGTAACTGATAATCAATAACTATTCTGGTCTCCCAAAAAGACTGACCTTAGTGAAGTGGTAGTTTGTAAGTCTATCATCCAGGAAAATGAATGTGATGACATTTAGTCGGTTTAAGTGGAGAGACATTTTCTGCTAGGGTTCAGCCGTTTAATTATTCATCTTCTAGACGCAGACTTTTCAGATTTGTTCAAAGTTGACAAGTCTGGTTTCGGTAAATTCCCTGTAGGACTTACTAAGAATAATCATTTAAAATCAACAATTGTACTTAAATATTAGTTAGGCAATCATAGTCAAGTGTTTTGATGGTGTTATGTTCTCTGGGCTGGATTATTTAATCATCAAAATTCTCCATCTTAACTACAAATGTTACAGTCTATAGGGAAAGAAATCGTTGTACAATCAATACAAGGTGGTTCGCTAGACCATGATTCGCAGTCATTGAACACAGAGTAAATAAACCCTTGAAACTGATTGAATTAAATCTATGAGATTGTAAGGTGTTCACAACATTTGCACTATCCGTTATCTTCAAATTGTTTATTGTTATACAACTTTGTCTACTTTGAAATCGCTGTTTTTCCACCCCACGTAATCCTTTGTATACTTTTACGAAGTGTGGCAACTTTTGTGCAAGGTTCTACGTTGATTTTGTCTGTTCTTGTCTGTCTGTCATGGTCTTATAAAGGACATAGAGGCTTCTTGACGAAAAACCTCAATGGAACATGTAAATAGCATTTATTTTCGTCGAAATAATTGTAGACAAAGATGGTGGGAAATTAAATTGATTCACTAGGTTGCCTTGTTTCTCTCATACTCTGCCAAAGAAGGTATCGTGCATTCAAGTGTAATGTAACAATTCAGTTGCTGCTTTGTCTGTGTTAATAATGACACGAAAAAGTTTAGGAGAATAATATGGGATATTGACATGGCTGTAACCAGATTGTATCCACCTAGATGACTTGTTTTTCTTTCATCTATTATGTTGCTTGGAAGTATGAGCTTTCGTTTAAAAAAAAATGCACACATACTCACTTATTGTTCATTTGTTATCTTTTAGCAGGTAGATCATCTGAAGAGTTTTTGCACAATAGATATCGAGGTCATTTCGACCAACCACAGTCTTCTGGTCTAGTAGATTGATGTCCTTACTTCTCACTCTATGTCTAACCAATTAGAAAAACTGAATACCTTTGTCTGTAACTTGTTAGATTTCGTAGTCCCTATTCTTCAGTAGGTCACTGAAATGAAGGTACTGAATAAAAACTATATGAATTGCTATGTGCTTTGACTTTGAAGTCATTATCTTAAATAATAAAATTATCATCCATTGATTATTGATTATTCATGTAAGTAGAAGTGTTCGAACAGTAGTCTTTAGTGACTCGAAGAGCTAGTTGTTAACGGTTAAATGAAGAGAATAATTTCTTGGGAAGTAGATACTACCTTCGTCGATAGTACGACGGTCAGCTCAGCTAACTATATTAATTTGTTGCACTATCCAGTGTGTATTATTGTCGTGCTGGGGTGGTAGGTTTTTTCACCAAGGATTTTGAAAAGGTTCAATAGCAATAGCAATCGGATAAACCCAAACAGTTAAATTTCTTAGTTTCTTTGACTTTTGAAGTGTAAATACTACCATATACCTTACCAGGCCTTATTTCGCTTGAGAACGTATGTTCACCATGAAGAGAATTGTGGCTGCCTACCGTATATGTGTTGTCAGCATTTTCGAAATATGATATGATATTTGATTTATCTCAGAATCTTTATTCCTTAGCTATAACTTGATGCAACGGTTAAAAACGTGATTTTTTTAAAGCCATTATATGAAGAAAGTTAGTTCTTTTCCACTTTAGCTTGGTTCTCGTCTCATTGGACCAACATTGCCTCCATGGATTACCGATGATAAAAAGCTGGAAAATGACTTAGAACGTCTGTCAAAGACCGATCCTGCCACTCTACGCGCTAAAGTTATGGAGCTAGAAAGCCAGGTTAACGAACTCAACCAACTTTTGACATATCGAGAAGATGTTATCCTACGTATTCATGAGGTCAGTGAATTTCGCTTTTGTTATCTTTTCATTAATATTTATCAAGAAATCTCTTCATTACTTTGTTAATATTCAATTCAGTGAGAAAAACACGCTCTGGTTACTCTTTAATGGTGTTTAACTGGATGCAGTCAGTTTTTAATATGATGTATGTGATCAATTAGTCTGGTTTAACACTGGTTTAATTTCAGGAAATATCCAAAAAGGCTTCTAAACTTGAAGCTGCAGATGTTGAACGTTCAAGTCTTACAGCTCAAATCAGTATACTAAAACGCGAGTTGGCAACGGCTCGTGAAGACTTAGCTCGTCGTGGGGTAGGTCCTCTTGAATTAGACGCTGAGATTGAACGTTTGCGAAGTAAGCGAGATCGAGAATACCAACGACGCAAACGAACTGAAACCGATTTAGAGGCTATGGAAAAGGAAAATCAAGAGCTAAAACAAAGGATCAAGAGATTGGAAGAAGCAGCTATAGCAACCCCTCCTAAACCGGTGAGTCTTTTTTCAATTCTTAAACCGCTTTGGTTCAACTTATTTTTAGCCCTGTATGATTGATCAATCTAATTTGTTTGCTGTGGAAACTAATCATTTTACACATAGTTTAATAAAGATAATCTGATACACACAGCTAAACAACTTGTTATGTATATAAACCTTACTGTGGATGCATTAACCGGATCTTCACTCTCTGTCACCTCAACACATTGTATTTCTTGACCTAAAGGCAGCACTCGATTCTGTCGATAAAATGTTCTTATGCTGGGTAGGTGGATGATTTTGTTAAATGCTCTGTCTTTGAATTTCCGTGGGCGTGTTAGCGCATTTGGTGATGTATCAGGTAAGTTGCATATTTATGCATAATTGTTCTCCTCAATCTTCATCTCAAAGGCGTTTAACCTGCTACCGTTAGTTTCATAGCATCAGTTCAACTTGATAGCATTTGCTTGTGGAAAAATTGTGAGGTCGAATGTCAAATGCATTGCAAATCTTTAAAGAACCTTGAAGAATAGCATAGACTTAAAAATCGTATTGGTCCTTTCCAACTGTTGTATAGGTTGAAAAGGCTGTGAATAACTTGGAACAAAGAATGTGAATCAGGTATAATCCCTGCGACTAGTTTCAACCACTGGTTGTCCCAGTCTCAACGAAACGTGAGAAGTCATCTTACGATAACAACACCGGGAATCAGCCTGATGAACACAATGTCCAAGATTGTAGGTTCTATGATCAAACAATTAGGTGTATCCCGGGAACGACAAAAGTGAGAAGAGCCAGGCAGGTTTCAGACTTGGTCGTGGGTATATCTACCAGATACTCACTCTCGCCTGGTTCTGTAAAACAGACAGACTTACCACCACCCAATACTTACAGTTTTTCTCAACCGGAAAGCAGCATTTGACTCCGTCGATCAAGTCGTTATATGGCAGTGTCTCTCACTGAAAGTGGTGATGAGTAGGTTCATCACTTTGTTGAAGACTGTTTGCTCGAACGCCTATGAGGATGCTAGTGTATATGTTGAGGTATTAGATGAGTCGTGCACATGTAGTTGTGTTTGCCAGTGGTGTCCACTTTTTCCGTTATTGCTCAACTTCATTATAGACGTTATTATGGAGGCTTGCTTCTCATCCTCTGATGTTACAGGGAGTGGTGCTATCACAGACCTAGAGTACGCAGAAGATATAGTCCTGTTATGCAAAGATGCTGACATGGTGAAGAGTTTCCTGGACTCTCTTAATTGAAGGTTTAACAATGTTCCAGATATGTTTTCCATCCATAAATGTTTATTGTCACTCCAAGATTGGTGTACATTGATGTCTATTTTGACAGTAGGGAGTAAAGTGGTTGACTGCGTTGACCACTTCACTTGTCTAGGAAATCGAACCAACCTGGTAAGTCAGTTACAGATAAAATTTTTGCACGGGAGCAAAAGCCTCTCCTGGCTTTCGTTAACCCAAGCCATTTGAGGTTCTGATCTGATATCCGATTACCTCCTACAAGCCAAGTGTTCTGCGCTTCAGCTTGCCCTGTTTTACAGCGGTGGCCTGGTTGAACTTTGGGCTACAAAGGAAAATTTCCACCAGACATACTATATCAGATTCTTGTCTTTCAGTTTTGTTCTAATCTTTCAAATATGTCCTTTAAGCTTACAATATACTCTTGAAAATGTTAAACATGTTTTGAACAAACTGTTTTTCGAATTAATAACAAAACAAATAAAAAAGTACGGTGTTACACAGAAATAGACTTTTGAATGCATAAAAATACACCATATTTATATTCCTCGGATACCTGTCTCGAAAAGTACATTCTTCTACTTGCTAAATGATTCAGCACCAACCGTCTGGTTCACTTTATTACCTTCGATGTTGCTATTATAAACATTATTCAAAAGCAGTAATCATTTTGTTTGAAAACGTTGTTTTGGGAGTGAATATGTTAATGTATTACATGCTGAGAATTTCATACTGTATCAAAAATTTCGTTTAGAATAACCCTGCTAATAATGCTATTATTACTATCGTGAAATGGCTGTGAAACATGGTCGTTATATGTAGCGGATATAATGGGGGTTTACGTGTTCGACCACCATCGCCTTCATACCATAGGTCATGTGCTGTGGTACCACTGCCCTAATAGCATAGACATATGGAGTAGAGTTTTAGGTAAAAGAGAAAAGCCAGTTGATTACGTTGTAAACCTTCATAAACTGAGGTGGTTGGGATATGCGTTACACTTGCCTGGCTACCGTCTACGCCGTTGTATAATGCTAGCTGAAGTAGATTTATGATGGAATGAGTTTAGAGTGGTTAAATTGAGATATATCGTCAGTTTATCTAGTGTTTGATTGTTGGTTGGAGTCTAATAGACGTCCCGGTTGAAGTCTGTGTGGCTACGTAAGTCGACTGTTGAAAACTTCTGGCTATGTCTGAGAATCGAAATCAGTGGCGCAGATACACAAGCACGTTATCTTCATCTTATCATACTAAATTTAATATAGTCTCATTTCTTTTACGTCTGTTTTTATGACTTCCTATCACTGCGCCTACTTTCCTGTTTTATTCTTCTACTTATATTAGTGTCTTGTACTTTGATGTGCTGACATGAACTGTGGTGACGTGTATTGTTGCACAGCAATCCCAGGTCCCATATTGTTACTGACCGACCAACTGATGTAGTTCGACCGGGCAAGATAGCTTATACTCCACCTACTTATTTGATAAGTCGATTAAAGTCAAATTTCTGTCTCAACAGCTAATTATACAGTAACTAGACAAGCACTTTTTCATTCTTAGGTTATTCCATGCAAATAAGATTGTAGGATATTACTGCATTAACATATAGCATATGTGTACCAAAGAAGAGAAGCAAAGGAAACGATGGGCCGACCACTTCAAAAAGCTCTCGAATCGACCACCACCTGCACTTCGTCCAGAAATACCACCTGCAGCCACAGAACAACAAGTGAACATAATCCTCCAACAAAAGTCAAAGTCCTGAACGCCATAGAGCTACTGAAATGCGGGGAAGCAGCAAGACCACATGGAATCCCACCAGAAGCACTGAGAACAGACGCAGAGGCAACAGCGAACATGCTAACACCACTATTGCAGAAAGTCTGGAAGGAAGAGAAGGTACCTGGCGATTGGAAGAAGGGTTACCTTATCAAACTGCCAAAGAAGGGAGACCTCAGTGTTTGCAAGAACTGGCGAGGAATCACTCTCCTGTTCACCCAGAGCAAGCAAAATATTAAGCCGCATCATCCTGGAGAGACTAAAGGGTGCACTGGATTCAAAACTACGACCGGAACAGGTTGGCTGGCTGGATTCAGGAAGTACAAATCATGTGCCGACCAAATTGCAACGCCACACCACGCATCATCATAGAACGGAGTACAGAATGGCAGTTCAGTCAACTCTTAACCTCAACTTTATCAACTTTGAGAAGGCCTTTGACAGCGTCGACCGAGAGGTAATTTGGAAACTGCTTCAACACTACGGAATACCACAAACCTTCATCAATCTCATGCAACAGCAGCTATATGAAGACACTACATGCCAAGTAATTGACAATGGGAAGCTCAGTGATGCTTTTGAAGTGAAGACAAGAGTAAAACAAGGCCGCCGCCTACTATCACCCATGATATTCCTGATTGTAGTGGACTGGATCATGCAACAAACAGTGAGGAGCGAGAAGAGGGTGATACGCTGGACTGCGTCAAAGATCCTAGAAGATTTGGATTTCACCAGTGATGACTTGTGTCTGATGTCACAAACTGGAAGATCTGCAGGCGAAAACTAACAGTTTGACAGAAGAGGCGGGGTAGGGCAGCGAAGACGGGACTTCAAGTGAATATAGAAAGAAAGAGGTGATGAAGATATCCAACCAATACCACCACCACCAACAACAACAAGCTACAATCACCATCAGTGGGAGAAACTTAAAGAAAGTAGCCTCCTTCACCTACCTTGATAGCACTGTTTCAGCTACAGGCGGCGCAGACGAGGACGTCAAAGCCAGGATCGCAAATATAGCAAGACAGGCCTTCGTTCATTAACCTGGAACTAGTGTGGAGTTCTTGTGCACTCAGCATAAATCGTGAACAAGATCCGGATTTTCAACACCAATGTTAGTCAAGTCGATGCTTCTATATGGCTCAGAGACTTGGCGCGTTACGAAAGGGATTTCCAACAGACCACAGATATTCATCAACAACTGTCTACTGTGGCTCGTCACTGAAGCTCAGATGGCCAGAATAACAAGAATAAGTAACAAGGAACTCTGGCAACGAATAAACCAACAACCTATCACTCAAGAAATATGCACTGAAGGAAGTGGAGATGGATTGGATTGGGCATACACTGATAAGGCCGACTGGGGACATCACGTGTCAGGCCAGGCACTCCAGTGGAACCCAGAGGGGAAACGACGAGTTGGGCGGTGGAGGCTAGGGTGACATGGAGGAGATGGTGTTAGGAAGAAATGAGAGCTTGTGGGCTGTCGTGGAGCCAGGTTGAAAAGATTTCAGAGAAGAGAGTGGAATGGAGACAGACGTGCTACTGAAGTCCTATGTTTCCCTAGGAACTCAAGAGACAAATAATAATAAAATAGTATGTGTACGCAGGTACTGCTGGTAAGCATCGGATGAGACATTTAGAGTTCGGTGCTTCAAGTCAAGAGATGTACCTAATAGTTGCCTTCGGTTTCCTTGCTCTTATAAAAGAGATTTTATTTTACTCATTTATATCTATACTGCAGTTTGAAATAAGTTAGATTTTTATTTTTGTTTTTTCTTCAATATCCAACTTTTCATAGATCATTCCTCAAAGTGATCCTTCTGATAGAAATAAAATTATTGAACTCCAAGGCGCTGTAAATCAATTACGAATGGACAATGAAGCCAAGAGATCGGAACTTTTCGATTTACGATCTCGATTTGATGCTAAATCTGCACAGGTGGATAAAATGTCTGCAGAGGTATGTACACCTGTTGACACCTATCTATTATTTGTTTTTTTTGGCGGGGGGATTTCAACTTAGTTTTGACATCGTTTAATTTAGATGAGATTACCTTGAAACTCGATGTTTTCGATAGTTGTTAAAATTAACTCTAATATAGTGACTGTTTGCAATTCCGATTATAGTTTTGTACCAATAACTGCATCGAAATTATTACACTCGTTTTCATTGAGGAATTTTGTTATAATTATCCATAAAGATGTTGAATGCGTCCAACTTTGGCGATATGTGGATGACACATTTACAGTGTTGAAATCGGAACATATCGACAGTTTCTTGACACATAAACTCAGTAGTTAACGCAATCCAATTCACTTAGGAAGTAGAAAATGAACAAGGAGAATTACCTATGTTGGATTGCAGAATGAAACGAAGGATAGATGGTGGTTTAGATACTACCGTCTACAGAAAACCAACACATTCTAACAGGTATCTAGACTTCAAGTCATCTCATTCAGTGTCACTTAAAGCGGGTTTAGTCAAATGTCTAAATAACAGAGCTAAGAAACTCACTAGTCATTGTAAGGACTTAAATAAGGAATTGAAACACATAAAAGAAGCGTTAATAATTGATAACTATCCCCACCATTTTATTAAGAAATTCACACAAACACATAAGAAGCAAAACAATAACACTAATACAAATACAAATAATAGTGACAACATAAGTAGAAAGGAAATCAACACCTCTATTGTGATACCATACAAGGAAGGAACATCAGAAACTATACGTAGGATTCTCAACAAGGTGGGAATTAGGGTGGCATTTAAACCAACAAACTCACTTAGAGGTAAGCTTTGTCGGCTAAAAGATCCGATAGAACCAATTAAGCAAAATAATATAATCTACCAAATTCCATGTAATGACTGTGAGGTCAAATGCACAGGTCAAACTAGCCGGTCGGGGTCAGTTAGATTAACAGAACATAGGAATTTAGCTAAACATAGAACGGCAGACCCCAATAAGATCAATAATCTAGAAAAACACTCGGCCATTGCATTACATTGATTAACACACAACCACACAATAGGCTGGGTGGGACAAAACCACTGTACTTAAGTCTAATATAGCTAGGTGGAGAGAGAGAGAGAGATGGATTACTGAATCTTTGTTCATCGAATCCACACCCAACACATGTAATAGGAATGACGCAACACCTATACCAGAGATATGGAAAACTTTACTACCAGTCAAAAAACAAGGAAAAATCAGGTGACAGGACTATAAAATCAGATATCCTAAGTGCTGTGTGATTACGTTGGTATGATTATGAGCAATAATTTATGCTCGAAACGTAATCAATTAAATAATACTGTATCACTGTGCGCTTTATAGTGTGATGCTTAGTTGAATACTGAACATCACAGAAATCTTGTATATGACTTGGCAGTGCATAGAACTCATTTCTTCACCATATACATTACAGATTTATTTTTATGCCTATCTTTTTATCAACACTATAGTTTTACAACAAACCACTTTTCATGCTTTCAATTTCATTTAATAATTTTACTCACTCTAGTTTAAAACTAAAGAGCGTCTCTGCTCTGAGCTTACTACACAGCTTACAACTACACGTGGTCAATTAGAGAGTATTACAAAAGAGTTGGAATCAGTTCGATGTAGAGCTGTTCGTGGTGGAGCTGAAGTTGAACGGTGGCATTCTGATTTAACAAGTTTGCAAACTACCAATAAATTCCTTTCTTCTCAGTTAAATGATCTACGCAGTAAAGTGATTGCCAAGGATAGAATGATTGTTGAATTAACAAAACGTTGTGAAGATATTTTAAAAAGTCATTCCACTAAAGGTATTTCGAATCATTATATTGTTATAGTTTGTTTATTATGCTAAATATTAAATTTATGTTTAATTTACGTGTACCTCATTGACCCCGTTGCTTTCTATTTACCAACTTCTGGAAGGAATAAAAATCCACAAAAACTATTGATTTAAATTGTTATACTTCTAATGAACCCTTCTGGGAAGGACCATCAAAAATACATAGTGATTAGAAACCCCATAAACAGATGTATATGAACCCATTGAAATGACATTAAATGTTTTAGCAGAAGCCTCTAAACTGTTATTTCTTAAATCTAATCATCACCCATTTCCCTTACACCCTCAGTCAAACAGTTTGTTGCCTGAACTATCGCTACATCATTATCTGATCATCTTGGAGTTGCTTTGTGTCCATTTACTACTCACTATTTCTTATTGTAAAGTATCGAAAATGTTCTTTGGTGTCTATGCATTTTCATCTCGAAATAAGCTGGAAAAGTCCATATTGACCAACAGGATTTAAGGATTCAGGAATCTCTCCATCACATCATATACTAGCACCTGATTGGATCTTCGCATGAAATCAACAAATTATTCCTAGAATAAAGCACCAGTGAATTTTAGATCTGTAAATATTGTAAATAACGTCGTGTTAGTTTCGCATTATTGTTGTCCATTGTCGATGATGATGAAGAAGAAATGCGCCCAGAGACCTCGTGCACATTTGTGCAGTTGGCACTTGGCCACACTTATTGTGTAAGGACTGCCCAAACCTTGGTAGGTAGTGCGAGGTTCAAGCCAGGGACCCACTGATTGAAAGTCATCTCCCTAAACCAATGGTCTATAGCTCTCATTGTCGATATATATATATATATATATATATATATATATATATATATATATATATATTTGATCGACTATAAGAATTATCAGTTATGATGGTGGTTTGATGTTCACCGGGCTCGGTGATGAAACATTCTCGACAAAATGTCACGACTCAGAGAGAATACCAAATCATCATCATTCTCATCTCGAGCTACAAATCTTTCTCGTCATCTCAGTTGTCAGCTACTTTGTAAATGTTATGCTTTTATACACTTATTCAGTTGCAGAAGAGCCATGTGAAAATGTTACTAATGGAGAAGTACTGTGTCTACGCTGCCAGGGTCGTTTGCATACAGAAGATAAACAACAGTCTACCGAACTGGACATTATATCTCAGGTAAGCACTATGAATGGTCGCAATTCTATTAACTTCATCAAAAAATAAGTCATGACAGCCTTTTTGCACTGATCATACTCATGTTGAGGACGGGATAGGCCGATGTCTTGTATAGTGAAGCTAAGGTTATACCCAGTTTTTGTAGGCAACGAGGTATTTTCGGTTCATATTAACTGGGTGTAATGAAGAGTTTGAAATGTTTACTACATTGGTTTTCCTGTAGATTAAGAAATAAATTTTTAAGCTTAACATATTTATGCATACATGGTTTTAGTGTTTTCCTACCCCATGTGGTTACTTGGATCGTTTTTCCAACCAACAGCAAATCCCTACGTCGTTTTTACACGTAGTGTCTTCAGTCATCATCATCATAGACATCACCTAGGTCCGCATTGGTTTACTAATTTACTACTTTTTTGCTAGTAACAATCTTATTACACCGTTAATAAAGATCCAGGCAATAGTGATTACGAATCTCCTGAAGAAAGTTGAGCGCCGATTGGAGTTTAATCATTATATGGGTAAGTTTTAATATAACCCCAGTGCGTTTAGAAAGTCGAAAACAAGATTTTCCTGAACGTTTCGCCACCACAGCAGAATATTCAGATTTTTATTCAACATCGAAATATACCCACTGTCAAATGGTACATGTAGGAATTTCTGTCTTTATGTCATTGGTTGACTGTTTTGTTATTCAGACTGATTGTTTCTAACTAGACATTGTAAATTCATCCAGTTTTGGTCATTTGTCACCGAAATCAATTCAATAGTCAATGTGTGTGTGTGTGTAAATGTCATGGAAGATGTAAAGATCATTCGTTGTTAATTGAATAGAAATATGAAAAACATGTTTATTCATGGACAATAATTAATCCATGTAATTTGTTTGTTTGTTTGTTAATAAGTCTAATTTAGAATAGTGACCTTTTTGTAATGTTTTTGTTGAACTGAAGTCTGCAAGATAGGTGATAAATCTATTCTTTCCTTTCAGTTTAAAGCTTCTGTTGACGTTAAAATATCCAGGACTTCCGAGGTTAATCTTTCTTTTTGTGAATAAAAACTCTTCCCTAATATGTGAACATTGTCAGAATCAATCCTTCAATGGCATGCATTGCTATCGCTGATCTATTTTCCAAACTTTACAATTCCACTTGCTGCACAGTTTATGTTTATTCTGTCTAGTTTTCAGCTGTCTACAACTTTCGCCGGTCTGATTGACCTCACATTCAACACATTTTATCTTATACACATTGCTGTTTTGTGTCATCATCCACTTTGACTAAGGCTTTCTCCAAAGAAATTCCTACATGTACCATTTAACAGTACATATTTTGATGTTGAATAAAAACCCAAATATTCTATTGAAGAAGCTGTTAGCATATACAGAGAAACGGTCAGAAAAATCTTGTTTTCGATTTTCTAAACATACTGGGATTATATTAAAACTTACTGTTATGATGCAGAGTTATGAGAACGAATGAAAATACTTAACGATTGACAATCGAGGGTTGAGACGATTCAACCCGGGTGATTCGCAAAGAGAAATCAAAAGACTGCAAATTAGATGAGTTTGTAGTATCTCTAACTGAGTAAAAACGAACCCTATTTATAGAGTTTGTAGTCACCTTGAAAGACAAGGGATAATAAGTTCATTTAACGTAGCAGGAGCCAATCAAAACAACAGCGAGTCATATGAAATATGACCCATGCTCGGGAAAAGAGCGCGAATAAACCAGTTCAAATATATACAAACTGTAAGTATGGAACATAAAGGATGTAGGCATCTCTAACACTTACTTATATGATGATGATTACACTGGTATACCTCAATTTTTTTGCGGCACTTTGATAACTTATCTCAACTTATTTCCCTTTTTTATTTTGCAGCTCGAAAGTAAACTTTCTTCAGTGGAGAACCGTTGTGAAAGCCTAATGACAGAAGCAATTAAAACTCAGCAAGAGAATGAAAGTGTAAAATGTCAGGTTAGTTAGACCACAGTATAAAGTCTTTTCATGTAAACGGTAAGTTTTGTCTAACTATGAACTACTAGTCCAGATACTCAATCTCTAGCCAGTAGATTTAGCGTTTGAATCCGCTTTCATCTGCCGAGGTTTATGCGAGCAGTTAGTTTAACTGGTCTATGCAATATGTTTAGTATGTGGCTTAGTGTCTGGATATGCATGTAGTCATTGTTGAATTACATCTTTTCTCCATTAATACGTCACTACTCGCTGCTTATGCGAAAAGATGCCAAGATGATTACTTGCAGATGTACTGAAGTTTCTCTTACGTTTACTCTCATTTTCAGTAATTGTTTCATCTTTAACTCACTTGATAACATGCATGTTATAGTATTCTTAGCTTAGTTTTGTTTATTTATTAAGTTGGAATCAGAACTTGCTAGTGCTCAGCAGTGCCTCCAGAAGTTATCTGAAGAAGTTGCACGGGAAAGAGAGATAGCTTGTAGTTCAACATCACGAGTAAGTTATTGTTCATTTATTTATGATTTCAGCTATTCTCACTTGTTTTTCCCGGCAGTGAGTTGAAAAAATTTCACTGAGTAGTGTAAATTCTCTGTAGGGTTCTCAATCAGTTTGTCTAAAAATGCGTCACTCTCGAACCTATCTAAAGTTTCGATGTTATAAGATTATTCTCGGCCAGTTAACCGTTAAAGTGTAAGAAAGGACTGATGACTTCCACTGACTGACTCTTTATGCAGTGATCTTCGTCTAGTATATTGTATTCAGACTTACTAACTGAACTGTCTATCGCAATTTTGTTTCTGTTAGGTGAGCGTTAGTCATGGTAGTCATTAATGCAGCGTATTGTAAACATCTAAGTTGGGACCATCACTTTGTATTGAATAATAAGATTTTGAAAACGATTAGGGCTTCAGTAATTTTGTTTGCATGGGGTTGTAGTAGTAGCACAGCACACAGTTCCGTAAACTTGTCTGTTCTCCTAGTTGGTAAATTTTTTAGTTGGTAGCAAGGTTAGCCTCCGTATGTAAGTATACTAGAGTAATGTATTTCTCATCCTTCATAATGTCTGAAGTGTTGTATCCATTCATGGAAGTGATGGAAGTATAAAGTTTCGTCCATAAGTGGTCGCAGACTGCATTTCTTTTTGTACAATTTCGACTTATCTGAGTATTTGAAAACTTTAAGGATCGCGCGAACTATTCATATATATATATATAAATATACATATACTGAGTGATGGTTGAAAATTTGAATCGCTGCCGGATTCAAACCACCAACTACATGGTTTCCCGCTCGATGCTCTCTACCAACTGAGCCGCAAGGCCCGACGGCTGACCAGATTTTTATTTCACTTCAGTCACCAAGGGTTTTACCTGACTACCATGTGAATTCGTGACGCGTTACTACCGTTTAATCGTGTACACACTGGCTGCCTAGTCAAGACTTCTCATCCTAATTCCAATGTAACCGAATTAGAGAGCGGGAGCACCATATTCATAATCATTTTGACTATCTGAGTGATATAGTCCTGGTTTGGGGGACTAGTATTTATGCACCGGGTTATGGCGGAAGGTGAAATGAAAATTTGGACCGCGGCCGGACTTCGTAGCTGAGTTTGTAGAACATCGGGCAGGAAACCTTCAGTCATCACCCGGTATCTCAGATAGTCAAGTAATAATGTTCATATATACTCAAAACTCATTGGTTAGGGGATGTGCAGCAGTGTTTGGGAATCATTTACAATAATGGACCTTTATTCATCCATCAGATCTCAGTTGCTGATATCTGCGTGTATTGATTCTCCTAACAGGCATAACTAGTCTATGTTTTCCACCTGAAAAAAAAAACAACTAATAACACTCAGTCGTGTCATACGAAATGATATTTCAGTCACTGGCTCACCCGACATTTCGTGCTTCAAAGCGATTGGCGTCAGTCACACCCATTTGTTCTTTCACTCGAAATAAACTGCTTTAGTATAGAAACACCATTTACACTGTCATAGTTCTGCTGCTGATACTATTCTAGGGCAATCGTAAATATCCATTCTGTTTGCCTGAGATTGGGAAGTCAAAATAAATGTTATGATAATTTTATATTGAAGTTACGTTGTCCCATCGATTTCATACTGATCCTTGGCGAATCTACCGGTACATTCCGTTGACAAATGTATCAAATTTATTCATCAATCAAACCATTCAGAATGTTGTTATCCTTATGTCTTTGTCTTCGCCACATAAGTTAAGTTGAACAGCAAGTGGATATGTGTAAATTTACTATCTGTTCCTTTTTGTCCCATTCTTTTTTTTAGGTACAGGAGCTTACTGCTCAAGTAAATCAGCTGGAGACAGACCTCTCTCAGACCAGATTACAATTATTAGAAGCCCAGTCTGATCATCAAAAAGAGAATGATGTTAATGCCACCTCACCTCCTGCTAAGCGAACTAGGCGAAGCGCAAATTCTACTGTCAACAATGTCAAAGCAAATTCAAAGAACAATCAGGTATTTAGCTTGAATTCTGTGACTACGAGCATATATGCATTATTCTACCTGAATCATGAACATATTTTTGGACGTTATGTATAAAAATTCATTGTGATTATTAGTACAGCTAAACTAGCTCTATACCAAATACCAACTCATTGGTTGTTTTAGCGCATATCACAGTATGTAAAGTAAACCCTTTGACGTTGAAATTACGCAACATCCTTCAAAGTCAAGCTGATGTTCAGAAGACAAATCGCCACAAGTACCTATAAAATGTCGGAAGAACTGGCCATCATATGTTTCTTTCTATTTCGAGTGTTCCTACTCAAATTACCTGTCACCGAATGCGAACAGACAAAATCAATGTAGAAACTGACACTACTGCATAGCAGTCCATATTGTCATATCAGCACATCAAGCGAAAATGCACCAAGATTAAAAATAAAAAAAAGAGAAAGAAGGAATAAAAAGAATACTGAATTTAGTATGACGATTACGAAAAGAATAATGCTAGGATACGTCTGCGCTGCTGAGATTGATTCTGAACCACGTTAACCAGAGTTCCTAACCAGAAAGTCTACATTCCCTTACTCGACTCGGATCGACAGTGGAACGCTTCTCGAACTGATGCCATGTTTTAGTTTGACCACCTCTAACCTTCCACCATAAGCCTACTTCAACTAACATTGTAAAATGGTGTAGACGGGAGCTAGGCAAGTGTACTGCATATCCTGACCACCTCATCAACTGACTTTTCTACATAAAACTCTACTCCTCATGTCTATGCTGCTAAGGTAATGACACCACAACACGTGACCTATGATATGAAGGCGATGGTAGTCGAACACGTGAAGCCACCTCGTGTCCACTAGTTTTATGATTATTTTTCAGTCACATGATAGAACAGGGCGAGCTGAAGCGCAGTGCACTTGACTTGCAATAAGCAATTGAATATCAGACCGGCGGCTCAAATGTTATGGAATGATCAAAGCCTAGCGAGACTTTCGCATCTCCTCAGAGATTAGATCGGTCAATGATGCACCAGAGCTGATTCGACTTTCTAGGTGGGTGAGTTCGTCGACGCACTCAACCGCTTCATTCTTTACTGTCGAAAGAGATATCGACGCTCACCAGTGGTGGAGTCACAATGTACATTTAGTTGATGAGAAACTCATTCATAAAATTATCAAACCTCCAATTAAGAAAGTTCAGAAAGCTCTTCACCATGTCAGCAACTTCACATGACAGGACTATATCTTCTGCACACTCTAGGTCTACTAAGGGTTCTCATGTGATAGGATCACTCCCTGTAGAGGCAGACGGCGATAGGGAACCTCCACAAGGATGTTTATGATAAAGTTGAGTGACAATGGGGAGAGTGAATATACTTGACAGACACACCTAAACGTACACAATTCAACTGACAACTCACCATAGGCTGTTACACATCCACAGGTGTTTGAGTAAAAAGCCTTCAAAAAGGGATGTACCTACTCATCACTATCAATGAGAGACATAGTCATAAGACGTCTTGGTCGACGAAGTTGTGTCCTGCCTTCAGGTCGGAAAATACTGTAAGTGTTCGGTGGTGGTGAATCTGTTTGTGTCACATAACCTGGAGAGAGTGAGTATCTGGTTGATATATACGCACAACCAAGTCTGAAACCTGCCTGGCTTTTCTCACTTTTGTTGTTCCCGAGCTACACCTAATTGTTTGGTAATTATACAACCTAGAACTTTGAACACTGTGTTCAACAGACTGATTCCCCAGTGGTTATCGTAAAAGGGTTTCTCATCTTTCGTCAGGACTATGACAATCAGTTGTTAAGAGCAGTTTGGGTAAATCGTACTCGACTCCCATACAGCAGCTTTTACACAGGCAAATAATCCGTGACCACCGTCCTCTAATATCCATGGTGCCACTCCATGTGGTCGTGATGCCATTTCTCGTTTCAGATTACTTGGAGCTTTTTGAAGGTCCTATCTCGATGTTTTGTTTCAAATCCGACTGTGTAGCGATCTACTTAATAGTAGTAGGAGGCGAGTTGAAATGTTCATTGGAATTTTCCACCCATAATTCCACTTTTCTTTTCTGTGAGTGAATAACTTATCTATACTTCTCCCTTATAATCTCACGATGGAGATTTTTATCCCAATTTTCCCAATAACTGACTACTATCATCTATCATTGCCGCCACTCCCATCTGTTCATTTTTTGCTATCCACCATTGTTCATGGTCATTGCTTTGACTATTTTTCAGTCTCTGTTTAAGTTTCCTCCGCCCCTCTTTGTGCCCAGAGCCTGCCGATAGTCATATTTGTGCGTCCACTAATTTAGAAAAGGTTGCTGAGATCCACTGGTCATTTTCGTCCTTTTTCTGACAATCAACTGGTTTTACAGAAGACTGAAGATAAGGTCAGGCTTCTGGAAACTGAATGGGGAAATTTCGCAGATTTACCACATTAGCTGTTTGAGGTTAAGTGTATAACTATATTTGTGTCTCAAAGACACAGCATACATTCATGATCCGAGACGCTAGATTTGTGGCTAACGTAGCTTGTTGGCCAATTTGATGGAGGTTGCTGTCATTGTGTAGTTTGGAGCGTGGTTTCAGTAAACTAGGCATGCTATTCTATGAGCGCAGATCGTTATCAAGAGCTGAAGAGTTGAAAGAAATCAAAGATGAAGTAATCATGTTAGTCAAAAGACGTGAAAGAAGATTAGAAGTCAAGGGTGCGCAAAGTTGACATTGATCTGAGGGAGCGTGAGTACTGACAGAGTTGTGTAGGTGGTTGTCACTTATTGGCTGCTCGCACCATGGGAGAATATTTCTGCTTAAGGTACCTAAAAAAGAAGGGTTTGTGCGTGACCACAGAGCCCAACGGGCACCTGGTTTGAGACCGGTCACATGCAGCCTTCTTAAAGGGTTGGGATTTAATTTTTTAGTTTGGACTCCGACAAGGAACCCATATTTCCGTCACCGATAAACCACGAGGTAAAGGGGAGTGTGCTATTTCTAGGGCTGATCTTTTCTACCACTCCATTTCCATGCGGAAGGCAGTATTAACATGGTACTTCTGGTCATCCATGGGAGATACTTTACTGCTGCCATATCTTGATCCAATTAACAGTATGCCTTCGCTCTCAAACCCTCAGCATAGGGTAGCAACTTACACAATCGAACTGACTTTATTAATATGGTAGGACATCAAGGAAGCGAGCGTTCCACAAACATAGGTTGTTGGGCTATTTTGATAAACAAACCTGACCTCCACATCAGGGTAGCACCTATTAGTTTGTGTATTGAATACAGTGCTGTTCAGTCAGTGCAATACTTAGGAGCCTAGAGTTCATTCAAACGTTCAATAGAATGGATTCATCGCTCACGGTGGTTCATAAATACGCTTGAACTGGAATGGCTGGATGTTTACAGAAAGAATATCAAATATCCAATCTATGGTTGGTCACTTTGCAGTTGTAGTATTTATTGTGGCCACCTATGGCGCCGCCGTGATATCCGTTTGTCTATTAAGGGTCGCGTATACTGCACAGTAGTCCGTTCTGTTCTACTGTATGGCTGTGAAACATGGCCATTGAAAGTGGAAGATATAAAAAGGCTTCAGGTGTTTGACCACCGTTGCCTTCGTAATATAGGCCATATTCCGTGGTGTCACCACACCACGTGAGTAATGCAGAAGTCAGGTGTAGAGTTTTGGGGAGAAGAGGTAAGTCAGTTGACGGGGTTATGAACCTTCATCGACTGAGATGGTTGGCTCCGACACGTACTACGTATGCCTAGTCACCGATTGCCTTGTCACACAATGTTGGCCGAAGTAGGTTCAGGCTGGAAAAAGGCTCGAGGTGGCCAGACTAAAACATGGTACCAATGTATGAAGTCTCTGACTGTTGGTTTAAGCCATGTAGGACGATTCAGACTAGGTGGTTGGGGTCCACGGGACAAGAGGAACAAGTGGTTGGAGACCCTAGGTGATATGGCTCAGAACCGATGTCAATGGCGCAGATGTATACACACATTATCCTCATCTTAACGAGGCTATACCGAATCTCACCATTTTGTCACTCCTCTTTCCTTTCTTCTCGTACTTTACATTTCTTTTGACTGCATTCACTTATCTTCATGTTTCACCTCACTACCTTTCTACTTGATGTAGTGATATGAGGTGTGGCAACTCGAACCGTTACGCAGTAATGCCTGGTCCTATGTTGATAATGATGATGATGTAGTGTTTATTGTCAGTTGTATTTAGCAAAAATTAACGTGTTTTGTTCACGTTTTAAGGGTAAGAAAAGTAAGTCACTGTAGTTGCCTGTTTCAAACTTTTATACTATAACATTAATCTTGATTAGAAATATGATTGATATAAGCTTATGGTAGCAAATTAATCTGTTGTTATACTGACTCTAACAGGCTAAATATATGAGATGCTTGTTAACCTTTGTTCATGAAATATATCACACCTAATAATCTTGGTTATTATTATTATTTTTTATCCAGGAACATTCGTCAGGTGGACGGCATTAATTTCTCCTCACAGTATGGCTGCATTTGACTACTCCACTGACAGCAACTTATCATAAGTTCACAAGACTAAAAGTTATTTTCGTGCCCATTAGAAAAATTCCACAAGAATCAGTTATTTGGATGTCATACTACTAGTTTTTATTATTGAGTTTTCATTATTATTTCCTAAACTGTTCTTGTGCGTGTGTGTTAATAATTTCTTCCCTTGATCCAATTCCACCCTTACATGTACACATTACATTGAAACGTTTATTACTAATAACCATTGGAGTTGCATTTTCTGCCGTTGATAAATTGCGGCTTTTTGTTTTTTTTCTTATCTTGAAAAAATAAATTATAAAAATCTATTGTAAACTGATTTCTCAATTTCATATATATATATATATATATATATATATATATATTCGTGGACAATGTTATGCATTGTATAGTTTGGTGATGATGATTAGTTATGAATGTTTCTGTTGTAACATATATAATAGTACCTTTAATCGAGTTTTTTTTATTACCATATCTACTGCATCTGTAGCATTACTGAGATACCCGACCATCTATCAAACAAAGAATGTACTACATTGCAGTCCATTCTGTTCTGTTGTACAGTTGAGACATGGTCGCTAAAAGCAAAAGATATGAAGCGATTACAGGTGTCTTTGTAGCACCACTCGCGTTTTGTGAAATCACCATGTGAACAATGTTGAGGTCGAGTGAAAGGTATTGGGGAAGACAGGCATGTCGGTTGATGAGGTTGTGAACCTTAGTCGATTGAGATGGCTTGGATATGTACTGCGCATCCTAACCCACTGCCTACTTCAACGTTCTATGCTAGGGAGAAGGTGAATTAGGCAGGAAGATGGTTTAGGGTGTGACACCAGTGGATAGAAGTGCCTAACTGTTGATTTGAGCCGTGTTAGGAGACGTGGACTACCTTTCTAGAGTCTCCTAGACGGTTGGAATCAGTGATTGAAAATTCTTGGTGACATAACTGAAAGTTGGTCAAAATGACGTCTTGATGTCTTCTCAAGCTTGAATATTCACACTAACCGTTATCTTCAGATTGTTTATTCTCCCACAATTTTGTCTGCTTTGATATTACGCTTTTTCTATCCACTTGCTCTTTGTGTATGACTATGAAGTGTAACAACTTGGTCAGATGCAATTGTGTGTGTGAGGTTCTGCGTTGTTTCTGTTTATGCATTCAATAACTGTTAGCGATTAACTTTTGCTCTACCACATGAACAACTATATTGATAATAAGAAAGTGTCCTAAAAGGAATTTAAGTACTATGTTGCTTTGTGTGCAACAATCTCTAGTGAGGTAAACACTATGATTATCCATTAATCCATGTTTTGGACAATTATTGGCTTATGGTTAGACAATAACTGTCCAGAAAGCCGCCTACGCTGAGATAATCTCTCACTCAAACAGGCTTGATCAGCATAACAATTTGTATAATGATAAATCAATAGGCAGTGCTACTTGAAACAAATGTTTTTGGAAATTCTTCTATGCTAAAAAGGCCTCTGAGATAGTGACAAGTTAAGAAGCAAATATCGTCATAGTGCCACATGCTGTTTTGAATTAGGGAGCGAGTTCGTACTATTATTTGTACGGGGTGTGATAGAAGTGAGGTGTTTTCGCTGTGGATAATCGGTATCCCAACCTTCCTTTTGTGAAACGAGAGGGTTAGCAAAGATCATGGTTTAAGAAAGCAAACTACTTCCTGCAAAATAATTCTTTACTCCAGGGAGTAGGAAATAATCTTCAAGTGCTTGTGTAACGAAGTCAATTCAATATCGAAAGTTCACCAAATGATCGTGTGGCAACTGACCTTGAGAAGATACCCCTCACCCAGGTTGATAGAAGTAGTCTTACTAATCCCTCTTCTTTCGCAAGTACCTCAAGAAGGAGTAGCCTACCATGAAGCGGACAATAAGGAAGCATCAGCCATCCTCATACCCTTTCAGCACCTGAATTACTACTAACCTTCCATATTGTAACCTTGTTCCAAATTTTTCTCTTGATAGTCTTGTGTTGTCTTATATTTCTATCAACTCTGCACCTCATGATAACATTTGCAGTTCGCGGAATAACCTTCCTGGTCTGATGAAACCACGCTCGAAACTATTTTAGGGCTTGGTACTAGGTAATGTTTACAAATCAGAGGTAGTGCCGTCAGGCTGATCCACTCCACTGATCATCCCAGTATTTAAGAAGAGAGAGAAGTCTTCTTGTGAAACGGTTTGACCAACATCGTTCCAAAGATCCTGGGGACCATAGTTACCCGGTGCCTAACTGCAGCTTGAGGAAACCATACAGGTTTCAGATTTCCACTCTTCGATGTGCTAGGGAACGTAGACATACTTGTCGACACTTCCCGTATTTATCGACCTGAAGGCAGCATTCGACTCTATCAGCTGTGAGATGGCAATGTTTGACTGTTGAAGGAGTAACGAGCGAGTACGTAACTCTAATCAGGGCTCTTCACTCAAACTCAGCCGTGTAAGGGCTCATGGAGAGTTAGCACCTGAATTGCAACACCAGTGAAGTCCGTTTCTGTTCAACTTTGTTTCAGATGTATTCGTGGAAACATCTTGAAGTACGTCTGACTTCACATGGATTGATCTACTCTTGGGGCGGGGGTTTTTTAGTTTGGATTATGCAGACAATATTATCCCGTTAGGTGGAGACGCCGACTAAATGCAGGGTCTTGTAAACGCGTTGAGCAGAAGTCTGACTTGCATAAGCTCGAACGGGCTGGCTGCTGACAAAATCTCATCTCGAGTACCGGAGACCCATTTAGCATTTTCCAACTTGCGTCATTTATGGCACTGACTCCTGACCATCTATCAAAAGACAGGTATACCGCTGTGCGATTCACTCAGTCCCACTCTATGACACGGTCACTTAAAGTCGAAGAGATTGCATGTTTTAACCACTGGTGTCTGCGCAGCATTGCTTGCGTGTGATGGAACTAGCTTGTGAGCGATTTTGATGTTAGGTGATGGGTACTAGACAAGGTAGGCAAGTCAGTTGATAAGGTTATCAACTTCCACGCACATAAATGGCTTGAAGATATGCTATGCTTGCCGAGACATCACCTCTTACAGCATGCGATGTTTGTCGAAATAGGATTACGTTAAATGAAGGATCAAGATGGCCATACCTTAATGTGACACCAGTCCATGAAGTCTCTGACAATTGGTCCGAGCAGTGTGGATTACTTGACTGGGGTCCTTGAGAAGACTGTTGTTGTTACAGTAGCGCAGATTTATTCACTCTTTGACATCTAGAGTTTGTACGTTTTCACGCACCTTCATTTTCAAATCCCTCTACCTTGATATCAGTCTTTTTTTATTCACCCATTCTGTGGTGGTGACTTGAACCGAAGCGCTTGTGCTAGATTGCATACTGATCTTGTCTGTCTTTTTCTATCAAGGTTAGGATCCTAAAATTGTGACAAACTTCGGTTTAAACGCATACTTGACCACAGTAGGGTTAGTCCATGGACCATGTAATAAATCGTCAAAATGTACCCTTTGTGTATTTTGAAACCTTTTAGTCAGTTTTGCACTGGAGTAGTCAGTGTTTTGCTCGACTGGATCACAGTTGACAATTTTTTATGTTTTTCAACTAAATTAGACATTAAAATGTTGGAAGAATTATCACTCGTGTTTTTGTTATAACTGATTGCAAATCCGCTGTTTGGAAGTCGAGTGTTACAGAAAATTGTCTAGCCTCTTACAGAAACTCGACTTACGCGCACAAATATGAAAGCTGGATAGACTGTACTCATGGAACTACCTGTTTCTAGCCAGCACTAAGTACGGAAAGACATTGTTTGATGTGGTGTCCACCGACGTCTACGGTCGACAGCGACCACGTATTCTTCCGAGCACCTGGATGAATGGGTAACTTACTTTTCGAAGAGAGTTCTAAGGTCATCTCGATGTTAAAATGTCAAGATTGTTTTACGGATTAGTTAAACAGTTAATCAGAACGTGACAGTATTAACTATCCTGAAGAAACCTGGCATTGTTAAAAATAGCGATAATGACTGAGTGATTCCTAGATAAAGGTAATAACAGGTCAGTAGAAAGAAGTGGTTTCATTCCGTAATAAAAATAAATGTGAATGCATTCCTGTAGGTTCCGGGCACATTCAGGAGCGGAAGCAACTCAAATGTAGTCTGACAAGAAGTCTGTAGAATGAGCAGTGTTGTTCAGCGAAGCGTGAAGAGATTGAAACGGCATTGACTTCGTGTAACAGCAGATATTTATTTAGACTGATCAATAAAACTGGTAAAAATAACTGGTAAATAAGACCGTGTCAAGTTGGATATGCTATCCACACATTAGGAAGACGGTTGGGACGATAGGCGGAACAGTCCAGTTGGCTCTGATTCTGTTTCCAAGTACCTAGTTGAATCCTGATAGAAGTATTTTCATAAGGTATCCAATTCTTGCAGGGTTTATGAAGACTGTAAGTAATCTGAAATCAGGAAAAAGGGACTAGCTTCAATTTATTAACATTATGGTTATTTAAGGACGATAATCCATGATTTTCAGTTAAGCTGACTGTTTCCCCCAACTTGGCGTATGAGAATCAGACATGATCATCTCTGACTGATTTCAAGCTGTTTGTCACAGTCTCTTAGAAAGAAGAGAAATCTGTGATAACTGCAGAGAATAAAACAAATGAATATGCATCTCAGCTGCTTAAGTTAACCTCGCGAACAGCAGACCGTTGAAATTCGAGAAGGTTACAAATCTGAATCTATCAAATTTTCACTATCATCAGACAAGTCGATTGGGGTAGTTTCTGTTAAAGATGTTGGGGAATTTAAGTTTCTAGATAAGGTGCGTGTGACAGCTGGAACTATGTGTTAATGATATGATGTGGGATTAGATTCATCACAGTTGTGTAAAAGCACCCACACGTTCTCTTTTCGAATGTTACATCACATTTCATTATTCTCCTCAAACTCTCTTCTATTCATCTAACAACTGTCTACGAGTTTCATTGATATTGTTTCTATCTCCCTCGTCTTTTATCTTCTTGCATTGTAGCATGATGTAGTGCACTTGTCTTGATTCGTTAGACAATAATACCTAGGCTTCATATTCAGATAGACTAACAGGAACACTTCATTCATCTAATTATCAATCAAGAGTAAGGTGAAGTTCATTAAACAACGAATGAATTCTCATTATTGAATGTACAGTTGTATTTTTGCTTCATTTTGGGATGGGTTGAGTTAATTAAGTAGTTTAACAATGAATCCGATATTCCACCATATATCAACTCACAATGACATACTAATATAGATTAACTCTATTTTCAACGTATTATGATGATCGGTATATTGTCAAACTGATTCTAACCGTATTTCAGCATAAATGATTTATAGAATAAATTTCAAGGTTTTATTAGTAGCTGAGTAACGTTTATTGTGAATTACATTGTTGAATGAAATGTTTTTTACTAAATAAAGTGAATGATTTGATTTGTTTTTCGCGGAAACTCTACGGTTAAAAATGCAGAAAGTGTGAATGAATCAAAATATCCAGGTGAATTCTGAGTATGACTTGTTGAGTTACTGAGACCAGTTTATCTCACACATTAATGAACATGTAGCAAGATCAATAGAATAGATTTTCAGATTGATATTCATCATGGACTGACATCATTTGAAGAAACTTTAGAAACCTAGGAGCACTGGACATCTGTTTCGTTCCAGTATGGAACTTCTCAGCTATGCGCATGCATGACGCCACCGGTGCTTCTAATGAGAAGTCATGGCCGGCGAATCTAACCAAGTCGAACATGAGGACAGCTACTCAATGACGGCTTTAGATGGCGATCGCGCTATATCGTGAACTGACAAAAATAGGTCGTGTGAACCATTGAATTCTGACCCAGTGGGTCAATGGTAACGTACTGGCCACGGAATCCGAAGGTTCTGAGATCGACCCCTACCCCGGGGTCGTGGGTACGCACCACTATGGAGTCCCACCTGAGGACGAAACAGCAATCCAGTACTTCAATGTTTCTTCGACTTATATCACTCCATGAAGTGAATAAATAAATCCCCCCAAAACCTCCAAATTGAAGAATAGTTTTTGTCAGCCATATTGGCTTTACCGAAAACGGCTGAAATTTCACCTAGCAAAAAAGATTTGAAATCTGGTTTACTTTATTTAAGCATTGCATCATACTAGATATCAAGGTGTAATGAAGACTTTTTGGAAATTATCTTGTCCAACGTTTACATGAGTTTCTAAACCAGATTGATCGCTCTATTCTAATAGTTTGTTTTTTTTTCGTCAATAAAGCTAGAGATTAGTCAAATGTTGACAATATGAGTGATATCCAACCTTTCTTAATGTTTCTATAGACCTATTGTTGATGTAGATTAATCCTTCAGTATTATAATTATTGAATTGTTCCGTTTCCTTATTTACTAGCAGATATTTATACGTAAAACTTGGCCTGTGTTGATACGTGAACCTTCTAATCACTTCTCCTAATAACCACGAATTAATTACTTTCAACACTTTTATTGTATAATTTACTTTAGCGAGAAGAAGTCAACTTATTTGAATCGAATCGATGTGATCATAACTAATTTGCATTAATAGATCAATACAGAGGTGTAAATAGGTCATTGCAAACCAATAACAGTAACAGTTTGTTCTTTAGTTCATTCTAATTGACTCGATTTATATTTCTAAATAATATGATCTAAGTTTATTGTTACACTTAGTAATTAGGTTTACCACACCTCTTTTTTAAATAGTTTTATCAGGTAGAGAGTTTGATCACTTTATAACTAATAACTATTAATGATAGTTCAGTGTTTTCTTACCTTTGATATTTTATTGTAAAATGTTTCATCATCAGACTTGGTGATATGTACAGTACTAACATCATAGAGAAGTGAAACATTTTCAAATGTTACATGAACTGATTCATTTCTGTAGATGTCAGTAACTCTAGTGCTGAGGTGTCGATGATAAAATATCAACGCTCAGACAACACACTAAATCATCATCATCCTCAACCTGAGCTAAAAATGTTTTTCATCATTTCAGAAATAATTAATTATTGTTAAGATTCACTTTTCATGAAAATAGACTACTGTAGACCAAATCAATTGAAGAGCGTTCAAAGAATCGTTAGTGTTAATTTTTGTAATCATTTGAGCATACCTAGGCCTATGTTATTCACAAGCCGTATAGTCTACTTAAATGACGTTACCTACTTCGTTTTGTAATGACATACGGCGTCTTTACAGGACACTGTTACCCGAAACCTTTAGTAGAGGCAAATATACCTATTCTGAAATGGCGTTGATTAGCTTTCGATCATGGTCTATGATTTCCTTGGTATATATCTTGGTGTTTTGAATCGTTCATTATTATAACGTTTTGTTGATATGTTTGTAATTCTTCTTTGTTCTATTGGGCCGAATTGTTCGACCTCTCTTAGCATATGGGCTCGTGCACCGATGCCTCGATATTGCCTGAATGTTAATCATGGTAATTTGGTTGGTTGTGACTAGCAGAGGAACCCAGTACACGCTTTTCGTCCTATTTGAGGCTCATCAGCTGCACGTACCTGCACCTCAATGAGTGATAATGTTCCCACTGAGACTTGAGCCTCGTACCCATCGCATATGGGCTACTATACGGATGCCTCGATATTATCTGAATATTTATTGTGCTAATTTACCTGCAGGAACAACACCACTCACTGCGATGCAGATGCATCCATCTGGCGAGTCTCAAATGGGACGAAACGCACGTGCTTGATTCTTCTGCTATCTACAACCAAGTAAATTACCGCAATAAAGATTGTTAGTGTTCCCACTTTGAGTGGGTTTTCTTTTAGAGAAACTGTATCTCATTACTGTTAAGGCATGGCTATTCTTTTTTGATGAATATTGTAGCATCAATAAATGTGCACAGTTACCTTTCTTTAAAGGCTGAGAATCTTGTAGCATTAGGCTTGATGAAAGTTCACTGCTGACAGAAGAATATAACTGCATAGAATTTTCTTTTAAAGAGTATGAGTACGGTTGATCACAAATATCTTCGTAGCATTTCAGGCGTTTGGTGAAATCACTGTATGAGCAATGCCAGGATTAGACGTAGACAAATTAGTAGATGAAGCTCTGAAGCTTCATTGAATAAAATGGTCTGCAAATGCATTGTATATGCCAAGTCACTGCATAATTCATCGTTCAATGTTAACCGAAATATGATTCGGTTGGATGAAGAAGGGTTAGAGTGATCCAATTGTCATGTGATATCAGTTCATTGTGTCTTTGTTTATTGGTCTGAGCATTTTAAAGAGATGTAGGTTCTTTGGCTAAAGTCCTCAAAATTATTCAAATATCTAAAAATCGGTTACAGTGGTGCAGATATATGCATCCTTTAGCATTTTCTATATCATAAACAAGTTCGTTAACCTTTATTTATTTATCCTTATTCACATAAGATCTAGCTTGGTGTCACTCTTTTGCTATCTACTTGTCATTTGAGTGGTACTGTAAATGATGACAACTTGGGTCGATATACATGTTGTACATTGATTTGTCTATCCATTACTAGTTCCCAGACCTATTAACAGCATAGAATGACGAACCTTAGTTCAGGAATAAAGTATTTAGATGTGCAAGAAACATAGATGGATCTCCACCATTGTGATTGGTTTTCATTTATGTCATCTAGAAATAATTTCTGAAGTCTTGGAAAAATAGGTTAGTAAGCTTATAGTTCTATACACAAATCAAATAAACTCTGTCTAATTCGATTGGGATGAGAAGTCTTGACTGCAGGCATCCCGTGTGAATACTGTCAAGTGATAGTAAAGCGTCACAAATTCACATGGTAGTTGAGCGAAACCTTTAGTGATTAAAGTGAAATAAAAAACTGGTCAGCAGTTGAACCTCGTAGCTCAGTTGGTAGAGCATTGGACAGAAAACCTGGTGATCACTGGTTCGAATCCGGCCGCAGTTCAAATCTTCATTTCACCTTCAGTTATCACCCAGTATCAATAGAAGTCTTCTAAACCATGTCTATCTCAGATAGTAATGACTGATTGTAAACTGGTTTTTAAGTTCATCAACTTACTAAGATCATTGACTTCAGTTATAATGATTTTTCTTATGTTTGCTTTGATAACAGTCACGTTTCTTTGATACCTGTCTCTTCTCCGTTGCCAGATGCATAGAATGGTTGTCTAATTCCTAATACCCATCTAGTTGGCAGTTGTCAGGAAGGGGTATCTGCAACCTCTACGGAATTGATGTCTCGTCTGAGATTCGAACCTGTAGCACTAGGTGATGGCTTCCTACTGATTACATCTATTCAGGTCACATTTACCAAAGTGCTTCGCGATACTGAGACGTCTAGTTTGCTGGCCACTTTGCAAAATGATTGATATACTTTGGTCAGTACTTAGGACTGAACAATATGAAGTTAGTTACTCTACAGTGACAAATCAGTAGACTACCTTTTTAATTGGTTTACTTAAGGATTCTACATTCACCTTGGGGGGGGGGGGGGTTAAAGACTAAACCTTGGGTGCAAATATTCAGTTTCCTACAATCAGATAAGTGTAGCTGATAGTCTACGGTACCAAAATTTGATTGGTTTCTGCATTTTTCAGGTAGTAACAGTTTATATGAATTAGTATCTTGTGTTTTTAGCATTATCTGAACAATTCTCATAATTATTATCTATACACTTGTATTACATATCTATATCACATAGGCACAACCAATTCTTTTGAAGAAGTTATGGACTTTAACTATGTCAAATTTAAGATTTTCTGTGTATCCGACGTCAAGGCTTATTCTTCATCATACAAAAAGGTAAGTCTATGGAATTTCATGTATATATGTACGGGTATGATAAATTAGATTGAAATAGAAACTTGACAGGATTTGAAATAGTGGCTTCTTAATATCCGACCTGGTACTTTGTTAACACTTACAAATTACGACTCCTTAGGATTTCAATAAAAGTGGATCTTTGGTATGGATTGGAAAAACTTATTCTTCAGACGGTAGAACACTGAACTGGTCAGTAACCCATAGGTTACTAGTTCAAAGCCGGCTGTGGTTTTCAACTAAGAATAGTCTACCAGCCAAAACTATTCTTAATCTATAAGGACTATGATTGTGCAGTTATGGCTTATTGGTTTAAGATAACTTTCAACCAAGTGAGTCACAAATTTGTGGACCTCTCCACCTACCAAGATTTGGGCAACTAGGTAGTATCATTCGCTCTCACACAATAGATTTGAGTGATTGTCTACTGCACAAATGTACATGCGATCACTGAATAGATTTCGATTTGGAGAAACAATGATTGTAAAGAAAACTTGGGTCTCAATAGGGTTTGAACCATTGACTCATGGAAATGATTGTTAATCCGTGAGGAAGATTTGACTTAAATAATGGGATGTTCAAATATCCAATAATGATGGCTATAGGTATAATAATGTTGCTAGTTAATAATGTAAAGGTTGAATGATAACAAAATGGGGTTACTTAAGATTTTAAATCGTTTATAAGGTGCATATAGATTAAAAAGGGGGTGAGAACCTGGTAGAGTTAATACACAATCAAAGGATTATGAGGGAGTTGTGGAGGTTTTGGAAGTATTTCATGTTGTTATTCATCGTAGATTGAAGGAGGAACAAAGGAAACCTGGGAGCACTGGACAGCTGTTTTGTCCTAGTATAGGACTCCTCCGCAGTGCGCACCCATGACCCCGCCAGGGATCGAACCCGTGACCTTCAGGTTCCATGGCCAGCGCGTTACCATTGAGCCACTGGGTCGGAACTCAATGGTCCATATTTCCAACTTCTGGGTGCACACTGCTGAGGATCCGCATACTAGGACGAAACAGCTGTCCAGTGCTCCCAGGTTTCCTTTATTCTTCCAACTGATATCAATCTACGATGAATAACAACTTGAAATCAATGGATTACGCAATTAATATGAATAAGACGAGTTATTTAGATGAGATTGAAAATGTTCTATCAAAAGTTGCAGTTATTAGGAAGACTAAATGAAATAACACCGGAAATAATTAAATACAAAAAATAAAGTGGTAATGACGATATAAGAGTACGAAGAATGAAAAAGAGGGAAGAGGATTAAAAGACGAAAAACGAAAGAAGCACACCAAGACCAAAATAAGTTAAGACCAAGGCAGAGTCAAAGACTGTATATACTTCTTGTGTACACAAAGGTCAGGCTTCAGTCCATGGATAGCCAAGGCGTCTACTGTTTTTAGAAATTGTGTCGAAGGAAATGTGAGATGTTTGAGCGAATTTGATAAACAACCTTAAAATCATGGTGTGGGTCGGTTAAATGGTTAGAATCGACTAAATGCTCAAGGATAGAACTTCTGATGCATTTCCTTTTACCCTTATAAAACCAAGCCGGAATATATTCTCGTATACGTGTTGACAGTAATCTATGACTACTGCCGATATACCTTGCCCCACAGGAGAAGGTGAACAGGTAGATACACATGGATTGGGCTTATTGAGGGATATTGTCTTTTATACAATCGGAGAACAATTTACGACTGGTAAAGGTCAAGTGAAGTTTGGCTGGGGAAAAAGTCCTACTAAATGATCTGGAAAGACAATATCGGATGATACATCACCTTTAAATTCCAGATTCACCAACAAAGTGGTTTTAGAAACTGATGTGATGACTGGTTTTGCATATCTTTCTTGCATATTCTTATCAACAAATCGGCTAGGATAGACGTATTCCTCGAGTGTTCCTCTTCAAAAGTCAAGTTCAACTTGCGCACAGTCTGTGTTACACATATTACATATTCGATGGCAGAGTGAGTTATTGGGGTTTCTTTCCCAGATGATCAGGACGCAACTGTGGAAATTAGTAAGCTGTCCATTCCGCATTGGTTTTCGGTTGGTGGATCTTTTCAGCGTCCCATTGCTACATCTCGTAACCATCACGTCAAGTAAAGGTATATTTGATTTCAACACCCTTTCTACGGTGAATTATAACTCTGAGTGGCTATAGTTTAACTCGTGTAGGGTGTTATCTAGATCGACATTTGAGTCAGAAATAACGGATATATCATCCATATATCGTTTATAGATGTTCAAATGGGGAATAGTTTGGCTAAGATGAGAATTTTCTAGTTTTGACATAAAGCAGTCTGTCATTAGAGATCCTAGTGGGGATCCCATTGCAATCCCATCATTTTGCCGTTATATTTCACCATCGAGACTAAATTGCACATTTAAAGTACATCTTATTAATAGCTGTCTCAAGTAGTTTGTTGGAATTCCTACTCCTATAATATTTGAATCGATAAAATCACATATATAACAAACTGTTTCAGTGAGTGGTACATTGGTGAACAATGAGGTAACATCTAAGGTGGTGTCAACATCCTTAATGCTATCAATAGACTCAAATATATCACGAATAGAACAACGAAACACTTGCTTTCTGACTGATTCCAGTATTTCAGCTAACCGCTGGGTGATACAATAATAAGGAAAATCTGACATATCCAAAATCAGAGGAAGAAGTAATCCTGCTTTATGTATTTTTGGGAATCCATAGAGACGTGAAATTAACGAATCAACAGGTCGAATGCATTCATATAAAGTAGAGGATATCAACGCATTATCTTTCTTTTTCTTTAGAAGACCTCAATCTGTTGTATTTTCAAGTTGTTATTCATTGTAGACTGACATCAGTTGAAGGAACAAAGAAAACCTGGTAGCACTGGACAGCTGTTTCGTCCTAGTATGGGACTCCTCAGCAGTGCGCACCCACGACCCTGCTGGGGGTGGAACCCGTGACCTTCAGGTTCCGCGGCCAGTGCGTTACCATTGAGTCACTGGGTCAGAGTCCACTCGTCCATAATTCCAACTTCTGTTGTGTTTTGTTCATCTCCTCTACAGGTTTATCAAACTTATTTTGAGAATAAATTCGTTGAAAAGAGTCCTTTTCGCTAAATATCCTGTTTTTAATGTCAATAGGAATTATGAATGTATAATCCCTGATTCTTTGTTAACCACTGAATATCAATTGTTTACCAGTATGATGTATCTGGTACATATGTTTTCCTTAGTTTAGGCAATTTACTAGAAACATCAGTCTCTTAGGAGTATGAAATATTCACATGAGTTTGAAGATGTTCATCGATTCTTAGTTCATGTTAATTTATGCAGAAAACTAAAATTTGTTTTAATCCGTTAATGTTTTTATAATCTTCAGTGGATCAAGAAAATATTCTTTCTTATACTGTATGTGAACTTGTACTCTCTTATGTTTCAATAGAAATATTGATAATAATTATTCCAAGGATCCTCTACATGAAATATATAATGTACTGTTTATTATACATCCGTTGGTAACAGGCGACGTATGGAGTACAACATTCATTTTAACAACTACTTTGTCAATTTCTTCTTCATCTTTGGTGAAGCCATCATGTTGATACTAGAAATTGTTTTAATCTTGGAAAATTAGTCAGTGAATAGATGAGATAATTGTTTTAGTGTATATACTAAATAAACCAAGTCACTATCTACATAGTCGGCTATTGAAGGTGGAAGATATGAGAAGCCTTCAAGCGTTTGACCTTCGTTACCATCGTTAACCACATGATCGCTAGAATTTTTTCACTTTTCAGGAGCAGCTAGTGTGACATGAGGAGTCGGTCTCCAAAGGACAATCAATGAAATTGAAATATTTGTAGTTTCTGAACGAAATACTCACTTTTCAACTATCCAGGTCGTTCACCTTTCTTATCGCCTAGATGTAAACATATTTTGAGGCAGAGATTTAGTTTCTAGTTTCAGTTATAAGGCGAAAATCTTTCAAATTTGTCATTGGTTTGAACATTCTATGTTGTTCTGTGTTCACTTCAAAATGTGTCCGACACTTACAAACCAACCGCACACTGCGCCAGGTTCTGGAACACAGGTACGCTTCCCAACGCCCGACAATAGCTGTATTTCTCGGCCTGAAGGCGGCATTCGACTTTCTCAATCGAGAAGTCTTATGGCAATGTCTCACTGAAAGGCGGGCCGAGTAAGTGCATTACCTTATTGATGGCTCTCTACTCGAACACTTGTAGGAGGGTTAAAGCCTATAGTGAGATGTCCAGGGAGCTTTACTCATCAAACAGTGTCCGCCAAGGCTACCCACTCTCTCCATTCTTATTCATTTTTATCGTAGATATTCTTATGGAGGTCTCCCTCTCGTCACCTGATTACACAGAGGTTAACCTAATCACAGGAGAATTTTCGTCAGACCTAGAATATGCAGATGACATAGTCCTGTTACGTGAAGATGGTGACAAGATGCAGAGTCTTCTGAACACTTTGAGTTTTAATTTGAGAATGTTTGGGATGCGTTTCTCACCACCTAAATGTAAATTGTTGTTCCAGGACTGGTCTTCAACTGTGCCACGACTGATAGTAGAGAGTGTAGTCATTGAGTGTGTCGACCACTTCACTTACCCGGGAAGTAGGATCAACCCTGTTGCGCTGGTAAGTGGCCGATGAAATCTCTGCACGGATACAAAAGGCTCGACTGGTTTTTACCAACCCACGCCACCTGTAGCACCGCCGTGATATCCGATTGTCTGTTAGGGGTCGCGTGTACTGCACCTGCACAGCAGTCCCGTCTGTTCTACTGTATGGCTGTGAAACATGGGCACTGAAGGTGGAAGACATGAGAAGGCTTCAAGCGTTTGACCGTCGTTACCATCGTTAACCACATGAGTAACACGGAAGTTCGGTGTAGGGTTTTAGGGAGAAGAGGTGAATCAGTTGGTATGGTTGTGAACCTTCATGGAGTAAGATGGCTGGCTGGAACATGTGTGTTACATATGCCTAGTCGGCGTCTGCTTGGTTACACAATGTTGACTGAAGTAGGTGGAGGGTGGTAAAAGGCTGGAGGTGGTGGGAGTGAAAGATAGCATGAATGCATGAAGTGTTTGATTGACTATTGGTTTTAGTGATATAGGGAGATTCAGATTGTGTGGTTGTGGTGTGTGGGAGAAGAGAAAGCAGTGGTTGGAGACTGGATGTTGGTGATATGAGTGAGAAGCGATGTTGGTGGTGCAGATGTATACACACATTATCGTCATGTTAAGGTAATACTGAATCTCACCATTTTCTCTATTTTATTACTTGATATTTCTGTTGAGTGAATTCTCTTTTGTTCTTGATCTTCGACTTGACTGAGTTTTTACTTGATGTGGTGATATGAGGTGTGGTGTGGTATGGTGTGGTGTGGTGACTGTAAGTGTTCCTCAGTAATTCCTGGTCGTATGTTGATTTCGATGGATGGATGGGATGGATGTGTCTAGACATGTTATTACTGGCTGGGTTAACAATAAGATGGAAGTGAAGTAAAAGGTGAACATTGCTAAGGAGTTGCATACTAGGACGATACAGCTGTCCAGTACTCTTATGTTTTCAGTAGTTCTGTAATTCATGTCAGTCAGTGATTAATACTACCTTGAGAAGGATAGTTTTTTAAAATTAACTTATAACCAACTTATGATATCAGAAGTAAAGATGAGGTCCATATGTGGATGTTATATAATCGTGGATCAGAAGTCTAGTGGAATTCCTTAGAAAAGAACTCAATGTATGAGTACATCATAAACCTTAGAGTCACCTACTATAAATTTTGTGAATATTTGAGTGGTTATAGATGATGCTAACTTTCAAAACTGTCATAACTTGTATCTTTAATTTTTGGGTGGATGAATCAGTATACTCTTCTGAATTTGAATCTCATTAAGAATATCTAGTTGATGAGTCCCAAACACGAGGAAACATATGTGCTGAAATCCACTACTAGCCATCACCAATCAGTACATAGAAATTTCTCACACTTGAGTAATTTCTCATGTAATCAATTATGTTTTCAATTAACTTTTCATTAGAAATCAATGATGACTAGAAATTATTGTATCATGACACAATGATGTCATGAATTTTACGGAAATCTATTTCTCCTACTGAATGACACAGACACAAGTAGAAGCTATTCATTGTGCTTCTATGATTATGTCAACCTAATCAACAAGTAGTCTGTCTCCTTGTTGTACTGCACATAGTTTAGAAGTAAGTTAATTTGGTCACATTTATTATGGTCATTATGATTCTGACTGCTGTTATTAATATTGACATTATCATTATTATTATTACTATTATTATTATTATTATTATATTTTTAGGTGGCCTGCTTGAACCTTGAGCTACCAAATTTATTAATCAAACACTCCATCAAATTCTTTCTTTTCAATTTGTTTTAATCATTTAAATGTATCCCTTGAACATGTCATATACTCTGGCACATTTTTAAACTGTTTCCAACTCTTTGTTTGTTGTGTCATTAACAACGTTGAGAAAAAACTGTTACGTTATATGGAAATGGACTTTTTGGTGCAAAAAAAGTACATCATATTTCTCTTCGTTAGATGCTTAGCTTGAGTTGAAGATTTTTATACTGTCTGAATGAACTGGCACCATTAAAAGTACGCTTGCATTTCTTCATTATGGACCGGATGCCCATCCAGAACCAGCTGGTTATTTCACATTATTACCTTAAATACTGTTATGATCATTCCCATGCAATAACCATTTTGTCTGAAAATAATGTTCTGGTAGTGAATTTGTTGAAAAATTACATATGCTGAGAATTCTATACTGTCACACATGTTGTTTGGAATAAAACTACTAGTATTATTATTGTTATTATTATTATCATTGACATTATTACGATTACTACTTTCTTCGTTGCTATTATTACCACCATCACCATCATTATTAGTATTATTGGTGTTAGTACTAGTTGTATTAGTATTATTATTGCTGTTATTCATTTGAACATGAACATGGTACAGCAAGAGCACCAAGAAATGCGCTACATAGGATAATATTTCAATCTTTCATAATGTCATATATTGATTGTTACTTTATATATTTGCTTTCTGTCTCATATTGTTTTTCTTACTGATTTCAGAACATTAATGACAACTTCAATTGTTCATCGCTCTATATTGCTTCAAATATACACTTCATTAAGAAAAGTATTCCATCGTGAACGACCACGTCTTGTTGGCGTAGATGATGCAGGCACTCGATATTTTGAAGCATCACCGAATAAAGCCAGTGAACATCCACATTTATCGAAACGACCGAGACGATTTTATCTAATCCCTGGACAAAAATCCGCGGAAGATTCATTTATGGAGACATATATTGGTGAGTTAGCTAATGTATGAGTCTCATCTAAAGTTATAATTATTCATCAATAGTATATATAATCTGCAATAAGTTTAGTTTGCAAACTATCCTGTTTGTGCATATAAATGATACTTGAAGTCTTAAGTGAACAACGATTTTGACTTATATTGCAAGGAAGTTCTGTATTTTATTGAAGGCAATTCTAATGTAGAATTTATGAGGTATTCATTCCCTATTTGTAAGAATATACTTAACTTACCAGTTCATGAAGTCTTTGATTATTAGCTTAAACTGTCTAGGCAGGTGTAGACTGGAGCAATAAGGCCGTCGATACGACAAGTCAGTGGTTCGAGAATCTTAGCTAAGAATTAATGGCTACAGTCCATCTTCAAAGTGTAAGATGTTTTCACTAAGTTTTATGTATTTTGTTGTCTATCCTTCCATATATTTTTGTTTAATTGAATATCAGTCTTCGTCTGTCTGTTCCTTATTTTAATGTTTCTGTTAAGTGTGGTAACTTTAACCGGATATACTTCTGCACCAAGTTCTATATCGATTTCTTTCTGTGTATCATCATATACTCCTGTTTCCTGAACAGTAGTAAGAAAATCATATACAGTCTCAATGTTCAAATCAGCTTTTTATTGTTTAGGTATCAACTTAGTTTACTTGGAATAGAATAATTCTGAGCAATCATGCCAATCCTGTTACGTTATCAGTGTCATTGTCATTATGTGAGAAGTTTTCCAGGTTAATAAAAATCCTGTTTTTTTTTTATCATCAAACACTATCTGAAATTGTAATTGCATAACCAATCTATAGACTGTTTGTTATTTACTTTAAAACACAACTATTGCCTAAAAAATTGTCTCCATTCATGGGAAATAAACGTTTGTTCAACTGTTATACACTAACTAAAATTAATAATCATATATTCAGCTATACAAAGACTGGTTACGAGTTGGGCTTCTTTGCTTAGTTGGTAAAGTATTGAGTCGAAAACCCCGAGGGCCACTGGTTCGAATCCGGCCGCGATCCAAATTTTCATTTGTAAGTTTTTATGTAAAATGAGTTGAAAAATAAGACAAATCAAAAAAAATAAAACATTTACTCTTATTAAAATCTGATTGAATAATATGGTAATTGATTATACTGATGGAATCGATTACCTATCCTATTCGGCTAGTGACAAACTGTTGACAATAATATCTATTGATGTCACTGGTCAGTTTTTCAAGAACTTGCAAAAGTATTCTGAAATGAAAAGTTGCAATAGGAGTCATGTTAAGGTCAAAATTGTATATATTAAATATAGATTTAAATTCCTGAACAAAGAATGATCTAGATATAAGTATGTATTGTAAACAAAGTTCAGAGTAGACTAAAAATAGGTGCATATTCATGACTTGTATTTCATCTTTTTTGGAACCCATCAAATGGATGTAAATGATGATAGTGTCACTACGGAGACTAGTCATTACAAAAAAAAACACGACTTACATTAGGCATGAATTTAGTTTCGGTGTTTACTGGTACTTGACAATAGGACATTTCTTCAACCTTGTGGCAAATGATATCACCTCGGAGATCGGAACCCTCATCCACCCAGTACTACAGTCAGAGTTATTGTGGGCACGATTAAAATCGTTTTGTGTTAGATTGCATACATTGGAGAGTAACCGATGTCATATTGTTTAGTACTACGTGCTAACCGGATTTCATCGGTAAAGTTTATAATGTAACCAATAAGCTAGGTCAAGGGAAAGCCCTGAATATACCCTTTGCACTTATTGGCACTTACTACTAAGGCGTATCCGTAAAGTCAAAGACAGTGGTGCCTACTTAAAGGTTTGAACCTACATCCAGGAGTTCTTGGGGATTCTCTTCAGGTCGCCCTGTTTGACGGCTGCATTACAAACGTGATCGCTAGAATTTTTTCACTTTTCAGGAGCAGCTAGTGTGACATGAGGAGTCGGTCTCCAAAGGACAATCAATGAAATTGAAATATTTGTAGTTTCTGAACGAAATACTCACTTTTCAACTATCCAGGTCGTTCACCTTTCTTATCGCCTAGATGTAAACATATTTTGAGGCAGAGATTTAGTTTCTAGTTTCAGTTATAAGGCGAAAATCTTTCAAATTTGTCATTGGTTTGAACATTCTATGTTGTTCTGTGTTCACTTCAAAATGTGTCCGACACTTACAAACCAACCGCACACTGCGCCAGGTTCTGGAACACAGGTACGCTTCCCAACGCCCGACAATAGCTGTATTTCTCGGCCTGAAGGCGGCATTCGACTTTCTCAATCGAGAAGTCTTATGGCAATGTCTCACTGAAAGGCGGGCCGAGTAATTGCATTACCTTATTGATGGCTCTCTACTCGAACACTTGTAGGAGGGTTAAAGCCTATAGTGAGATGTCCAGGGAGCTTTACTCATCAAACAGTGTCCGCCAAGGCTACCCACTCTCTCCATTCTTATTCATTTTTATCATAGATATTCTTATGGAGGTCTCCCTCTCGTCACCTGATTACACAGAGGTTAACCTAATCACAGGAGAATTTTCGTTAGACCTAGAATATGCAGATGACATAGTCCTGTTACGTGAAGATGGTGACAAGATGCAGAGTCTTCTGAACACTTTGAGTTTTAATTTGAGAATGTTTGGGATGCGTTTCTCACCACCTAAATGTAAATTGTTGCTCCAGGACTGGTCTTCAACTGTGCCACGACTGATAGTAGAGAGTGTAGTCATTGAGTGTGTCGACCACTTCACTTACCCGGGAAGTAGGATCAACCCTGTTGCGCTGGTAAGTGGCCGATGAAATCTCTGCACGGATACAAAAGGCTCGACTGGTTTTTACCAACCCACGCCACCTGTAGCACCGCCGTGATATCCGATTGTCTGTTAGGGGTCGCGTGTACTGCACCTGCACAGCAGTCCCGTCTGTTCTACTGTATGGCTGTGAAACATGGGTACTGAAGGTGGAAGACATGAGAAGGCTTCAAGCGTTTGACCATCGTTACATTCTTAGTATAAGCCGTATTCCATGGTGTAACCACATGAGTAACACGGAAGTTCGGTGTAGGGTTTTAGGGAGAAGAGGTGAATCAGTTGGTATGGTTGTGAACCTTCATGGAGTAAGATGGCTGGCTGGAACATGTGTGTTACATATGCCTAGTCGGCGTCTGCTTGGTTACACAATGTTGACTGAAGTAGTTGGAGGTGGTAAAAGGCTGGAGGTGGTGGGAGTGAAAGATAGCATGAATGCATGAAGTGTTTGATTGACTATTGGTTTTAGTGATATAGGGAGATTCAGATTGTGTGGTTGTGGTGTGTGGGAGAAGAGAAAGCAGTGGTTGGAGACTGGATGTTGGTGATATGAGTGAGAAGCGATGTTGGTGGTGCAGATGTATACACACATTATCGTCATGTTAAGGTAATACTGAATCTCACCATTTTCTCTATTTTATTACTTGATATTTCTGTTGAGTGAATTCTCTTTTGTTCTTGATCTTCGACTTGACTGAGTTTTTACTTGATGTGGTGATATGAGGTGTGGTGTGGTATGGTGTGGTGTGGTGACTGTAAGTGTTCCTCAGTAATTCCTGGTCGTATGTTTATTTCGATGGATGGATGAGTGCACTTGTGTATAGGAACTGTGAGATGCGTGTGCTTAGCTTTGTTGAGGTGCTAGCAATAAACAAGTTTAACCCTACATTCTGTGTATGAAAATACTTTGTCCTTATGCTAAGCCTACCACCGATAATGCCTACTTTATAGTATTACCCTGGTTGTACACTAATCGAATCGATTTCCCTTTTAATTATCTTTCTTATTATTGAATCCGTTTATGCTACATTCGTCGTTATCAATCCCACTTCCAGTTTTCATATGAAAAATGCATAAACAAGTGTGCGTGTGATCAGATTCTTCGAAATGTCCAGTGTGCAAATACATCACAGTTTTCCGGATAGTCAACATCTTCTTCTAATCACGTTATCCAATTTTCATAAGTCCAGGTGATACACGTCCTTCCTCATCGACAGCAAACCACAAGGTAGACATTGGCACTGAATAGCGATATAACCGAATATGTACCAAGCGTGGAGTGTATCGGACTGCAGTCCGTTCTGTCCCGTTAGACTATAAGACATGGTCCATAGAACTAGAAGACATGAAGCGGTTACAAGTTTTTGATCACAGGTGTCTTCGTAGCATTGCTCGCGTTTTGTGGAAATCACAATGTAAGCAATGCTGAGGTCGGGCAAAAGGTACTAAACAAGATAAATGAGCCGATTGATGATGAGGTTGTGAGTATTCAGCGACTGAGCTGAGCCTCCATCTACCCAAACGTTTGATGCTCGGGGAAGTTGGAGTAGGTTGCTCTACTGCACGAACCCTCTGTTGAGTTGAGCACTGTAAGGAGATTTAGGTTGTCTAGTTGAGTTCCTTCAGAGGATAAGAATCAATGATTGGAGAATCTTAGCTAAATGGCTGAAAATCAGTCAGTCTTCTAAAGCTTGAATGTCTCGACTAAATTTCATTCTTTAATTTCTTTTTCTTCCTAGTCACCTTTGTCTACTAAGATACCAGTATTTTTCTATCCACTTCTTTTTTGGATACTGCTATGAAGTATGTCAACTTGAACCGATACACTTGTATTCGCAGTTATATGTTGATTTTATCTGTTTGTCGAAAAGAGGTTCCATCGGCGAATTCAGTGCAGAAATGGCAACTCATAACCAAAGTGTGTAAAATAACGGAGAGGTGATCTCAGTTGGATGAAACCAAAGTTTAGCATGAAATGAAACACTTTACTACTACTACTAATAATAATAATAACGATAATAATAACATTCACCTCATTCCAAACGATTTGTGGTACAGTTTGGAATTCTCAGCATGATATATTGCAACAACAGCAAAATAGATGTGCATGTATATACTCTTTTACAACTTTTCGATTTATGTTGTCATAAAAATTTAATTAATGTAAAGAATATTAAAAAAGAGAAAATTATACATTGTTAATTAAAGTTATTGAAATGAGACTGTCAACTGTTACAAAGTGGATATGTGAGTTCTGTTGTAACATCTTTTTGCCTCATATAATCTGCGGGCTACGTAAGGTATAGTCGAATTCCTGAACAAAACTGTACGAGCATACAATCTGATGTAATTTTTTTTTGTCCTCCCTCAGAAGAGAGCTGTGAATAAATGGAATGTTCAGTGTTAGTCAAAATTACTGTAGCTATTTGCGTCCAGGAATCTAAATGTCTATCAACTACAACGTTAATCAGTTGAACCAGAAGCACAACGTTCACCCTAATGACGGTTTTCAAATCTGATATATTTTCTACCATTAAGCTCTTTAAATACTTTCCATATATTGGAAGAGTTCTTACATAATGGAAACTTCTGGTTGCAAATAGTATTCGGACGTTTTATTTCAGATTTAATTAGCCAGTTAAAGCTTTTGATATCAGAATGTTCTCGCATCTTTTACAACCTTTCCTTTTCTCTCCAGGGCTTCTTGAGAGAAGGAGATGAAAGTCTATCAACTCTCATATAGATTGTCTCAGTAAGGCAGCAAATATCGAGACAGAATCTGAGATAGCTTGTGATATCAGTGATAGTTTTCTAAAACTTCATAATCAAATCTATCACAGTCTATTTCTTTAAGGATGCTTCTCAAATGTAGTATATTTCCCTGTGAACAGCATCTCCACTGGAGTTTCTTGGAAAGATATTCAAAAGCCTAATTGAGTAATTTCCCAAACACTTTAGGCGAAATAAGTACAATACAGTGATTCAACTTTAGAAGTGGATCCCGTTTACGGGCTTCATATATGCCAGGTTCATTTGTAAATACTAAATCTAGTGTGTTGTCAAGACGAGTAGAAACGTTAACCACATTTTCATGACCCAATGATACTAGAAAACTCCAGTCACATGAATTGAAATTTTCACAGACTATAGACAAGAAGTTTCTTAGAATATCAAGGCAAAAGTTGACAATTCTGAGAAACGGTAATCAGGTATGACATAAACATTTGTTATGTATATATGTTTATGCTTACTCAAATATTTGGGACGACATTTCATGGAAATGCATACATACGTAGAGGTGGCCCAGTTTGCACTGGTAAATGTTTCTGCACCCTCACCATGTTTCTTCTTGGAAAAGCTTCGATCTTTTCGAAATAATTTGAACCATTTAAGCAGACTAAATCATCATCATCATACACATTATGAAGCCGTTTCCTGTAGCCTGATTACAGTTGTATTTCGATAAACATTTGTGGGTAAAAGCGACTGAAGGTAATCAACTTTCTTTGGTAACGACCAGCACTTTAAGCTAAGTATTTCCAGAATAGTCATTTAATCTAAGGGTCATAAGCTTGAGAGCCCTTTGCCATCCACCGTGTTTCTTCTTATTAGTTTGCCAACCAACTTCTAAAGCAATAGGTTGCAACGATTTTACAAACGTACGAAAGTATACAATAAGATTAGTTGACATAATTAAACGATCAAAACAATAGAGCAAAAAAAAATTTGATAAAATAAATTCTGTGATGTAATGAGGTAGAGCAGAGTTCAAATAGGCCTCCACTTGAAGATAGACGATTTAGTCACATACGTCTGAGTAGTTTGTGAATGAGTTACAAGAGTGATGAAAACTCTAACAACTACTTTATTTTAAAAGAAGACACAAATCTGGTTTCAGTTTAATTTACTTGTTATAGTTTCAGAGAAATAAGGATGGTTGATGATGCTTCCCCCCCCCCCACCGTCCGTCAATCACACCACTGAAATTTTCAGCTGTTTCGGACTCGTTTAAAACATCTAAGACTCTTCATTATTTTTGTTCCTTCGATAAATTTACCGTTCCACTTAAACGTAGGATTCTACACTTTGGAACCACAGTAAATGATTACTGAACCTTTTCAATTATTCAGGTTTATTTAGCGTAGTTTTCACGGATTGTAGAATATATCTCTCTATCTCAAAAAATTACTTCATTTGATAAGTTTGAACAACGTAGATTATTTGAAATATGATCGATGTTTTAAGGGAGTTGTGGAGATTTGGAAATATTTCAAGTTGTTTTTCATCGTAGATTGACATCAGTTGGAGGAACAAAGGAAACCAGGGAGAACTGGATAGCTGTTTCGTCCTAGTATGCAACTCATCATCAGCGCGCACCTACGACTCCGCCAGGGATCGAACCTAAAGGTGGCGGGTTCCATCCCTGGTGGGGTCGTAGGTGCGCCCTGATGAAGAGTAGCATACTAGGACGAAACAGCTATCCAGTTCTCCCTGGTTTCCTTTGTTCCTCCAACTGATGTCAATCTACGACGAATAACAACTTGAAACACGATCGATGTACTAGCGCTTTACATTTCAAACAATCTGATTGGTCATATACATTAACTTGTCGAATAATTTATATAAAACTCAGAAAGGTTAATCAAACCAATAGAATTATAATTTGGAAGAAAGATAACAAGGGTAGAACAAACAAGAAGAGAGAAGAGAAATAATAAGAATGAAAGGTCAAATGACCACCACCAATAGTATAAAGAGTTGAAGTTGATAGCCTACTAGTGTAGGGTAGGGTAGGATAGGTTTAGTGTAAGTACAAACTGTGTTTGAATACATGCATCGAAGGGATTTGAAAGGATTTATGGATAGGAAAGTGCTTTGATAAATCTAAGCATTCATTCTTCACAATATGTATACAGTACACTACAGTATGGTACTGTTTTCATATCAATCTGCTGACCAATGTCTACCTTGTGGTTTGCTGTCGATGAGGAAGGACGTGTATCACCTGGACTTATGAAAATTGGATAACGTGATTAGAAGAAGATGTTGACTATCCGGAAAACTGTGATGTATTTGCACACTGGACATTTCGAAGAATCTGATCACACACACACTCATTTTTTAAGGCATTTTTCATATGACTCAATCGTTTATTCAGCATTGAGGTCTATATTGCAGCAGGTGTTTGTTCTTCTCAACTACAATAAGCTCCGCTGCATAGTACGTTTTGTTGACAGCTAATGTTAACCTTCGTTTTAATATTATGCTATTAGATTCTCCTGTGTGTGGTAACGTAATGTAAACGTGTTTCTTCGAAACAGAGTGCAGACTATGTATCAATGCTGGGTGATTTTTGCAACGGTTTATGAACAACTTCAGTGGATATCCATTTTCCACTAATGTTACGTAATCATGCATTGAGTCTCTCGTAGGGATTTGCAGGATTCTTTTAAATTGGTAAGTTACCAAGCATCGCTTGTATTGGGTTGGACAAAAGCTATGGTAACTTAAGTACTGACGTGTCCAGGTTGGTTTCGTATATATCGACCGGTTTGTTGTACCGTCTTCCCTACGACTTAGGAGTGTATCGAAGAACAATAAAGGGTTGTCTTTCTCTTATTCACATGTTATTTTGTATGGTGTTAAATCTTTTTAAGAAACGTGTCACATCTTCATGTTTGTCATATATCACAATTATATCATCAACATCTCTGTTATAGAAGGTAATTTATGAAACTGTTAGAGATCATTTGTTTCTGGAGCCATTTACGCACATGTTCAATCATTTTTAACTGCATGTCACAATTACTCCTCCCTATGTAAGCGTGTCCACATATGCATACACAAAGGGATATGATACACTTGTTCAGATGCTGTTTAGGTTTGCATTGAAGTATGGAGTTTGTCTTCTCCACTAAGATGACCTGTGGCATGTAGTATGTCCTACTAACAGCTGATTTGATACTTTTCTTCAAGATTAAGCTATTCGATTCACTCCTGAATTGGATTGGGATATACTTCTTTGTCGAAGACATTCGTAGCATTTCCTTTACATTTGATGATGAAGGAACTTCAAGAGTTATTGAACTTGGTGTAAGAAATTAAAGGAATATCTGCTGGTAACGATGATACAGACACATCATGTTCCTTTAGTTTTGTGAGCTTTTGATAACAATTGTGCACATGATATTTACCAAGTTGAGTGAGTTTCAACTATTTGGTTACAGTTCTCCTAGAAGAATTACACCAGTCTATTTAATGTTGCCGAAATATCTGGTGATATATAGTAGAATGATTTTTTATTTATTGATCGTGTTTCACCAACTTTCTTGATGAAGTTCCTTGCCTATGTATTTTATTAAAACATTTTATGCAGTAAAGTTTTTTTGGCCTTGTTTTTGAACTCCATTGTTAAGTGGATATACAGTTTGTCGCATTAACCATTGATGTTTTAATATTCCATTGAAGAATATGATTTATAGGTGTTATCTTACCTGTAGAAATTGTGTCTTGGTTATATCGTGTTCTCTGAACTGATTTGTCTAATCATGGAGCTTTCATCGTCTTTCTAGACGGCATCATCATCACTAACTTCCGAATGAAGTGAGTTGTCAGTATCTCTCCTTGAATGATTTAGCAGTGTGTCCTGACGAACTGGTTTGTGATTGGTTGTTTCCTTAGATTGTCGTGTAGATTTTCCTGTTGGTTATTCCTTTCTGCTTGACCTCTGACCTTCCTGTCGTTTGTCATTTTTCTTATTGGTTGGTAAATAGGGTCTGTGTCTATGCGTCTATTGATTGCTGATTGACCTGAATGCCAAGCTTCTAGATATTCTCTACTTAATTACTCACGGAAAAATATTGACAGCTTACTTCATACTTAAGTTAGTGCTGAATATATCGTCTAGAAGGACGATGAAAGCTCCACAACTAAACAAGTCAGCTCAGAAAACAGAATACAAGGAAGTCTATCCACCTGAGTTACAAATATTCCCCAGTATTTCGAAATTATATCTGTCCACTTTCATCGTCTATTCTTTCAGTGAATACATTTAATTATTTTCAGATTCAAAATTCGAAGTGAATTCACTCCTTGTGAATGTTTATTTAATTGGACTATGAGTATATTCTACTTTATTCTACATACACATTTCTCTTTTTATTTTTGAATAATTAAGACGTGAAAGATCTACCTCCTGAATGGCAATCATGGCTAAATCATCGACGTTCTGATGCACCAACAAAAGAAGAAATTGAAGCTAACAATTTATCTAGAGCAAAACGTCTTGGTCGAGCTGCAGAATTAGAGGTAGTAATAATAGTACTGATTACTATTCATTCCTTTTTTTGTTGTTATCTGCTCTTAGGTATGTTCAACGGTAATTTATATAGATGTATCGTCTGTTTATTGTTGGTGAAATCGAAATTTATGCCAGATTTAACACTTGATCTATAAATTTTCCTTATCATATAAGAATCTGCCGTGATTTGGCAAACTAGTATTTATACTGGGTGATGATTGAAGGTGAGATGGAAATCTGAACCGCAGCCGGATTCGAACCAGTGACCACTGTGTTACCGGCCCGATGCTCTACCAACTGAGCTACGAGGTTTGACTGCTGGCCAGTAACCCGGTGGTCGCTGGTTCGAATCCAGTCGGGGTCCAGATTTTTATTTCACCTTCATTCATCATCCAGTACAAATTATGAAAAAAAAAACATTTTATCAATAATATTAGTTCCTTCACAAGATAGAAATTAGTCAGTTTATATTTCTAATTTTAAAGAAGCACAGGTGTATTTTCAGGTAACGGTTTTTCGACCAGCATCGTATATCATATACCTTGATATCTTTAACATTGATCTTATAAATTAATACTTGATTGGTGGGGCTAAACTTTAGTGACGGAAAACCTTGAAGACAAGCAATCAGATTGGACATACTTAAGTCAAGGTCATTCATTGCGCGCGTTTACTGTGTTGTTGATGCTGGATGAACGTTGATGACTTATGATGAAAATTACGTTGCAGGTTGGATGTGAAATTTCTTGGAATGTAGGTAATGTAGTTGAAATGAATGAATGTCTCTTTCGGAGACGAAATGACTTGAACAGGGCTATGCAACTGGCATGCATATATCTTAACAAACCCTAATGTAAACAGATACTTGGAAGTTGTAGAGGCATACCACTATCTGAAAAAGGTTACCACCATCAGTCACTTCATAGGCCAGAACCATTGATGCTCACACAAATAACTTTGAAAATATGTCGAGTCATCTTAGAAACTTTTAAGACTTATGACGGGATCATGAGGGGAAAGGATATTGTCTCGGGTACATAAGTGGCGATGCAGACAGTGGTATGGTTTCAAAGATGATAAACTTATTAGAAATCTAGATATTTTTATTTTTTATGTAAGGCAGGCTTTTAAATAGCAAGTAAAAGTGCTCATTAGTGACTACGTTCTAGAGGTAATTCCTGTAGTTCCAATGAGAAGTCGTGACCAGTGGGGCAAACCTACTGGTCGTGAGGACAAATACTCAACGCTGACATTTGGTGGCGGTTACACTATGTTGTGAACTGATAGAAGTTGGAAATATCGACCATTGGGTTCCCACCTAGTGGCCCAATGGTAATGTTGTGGCCACGGAACCTGTAGGTCATGGGTTGGATCCCTGTTGGGGAGGGGTATGTGTGCGCACTGCTGAAGACTCCGATACTAGGAAGAAATAGCTGTCCAGTGTTCCTAGGTTTCCAGTGGTTTTCCAGCCGATGTCAGTCTATGATGAATATCAACTTGAAAAATACACTTTTCCTAAATAATTCCTTTTTTTCCCTTCTGTTCTTGATTTTGATTGGTCAGTGCACACCTGAACGTGATTGGTTGTTACTATGGTTTTTGGTTGTACCTTTATTGAATTGTCTTCATAGTGTACTCCTGCTGGCTTTGAAACTCATGCTTCATTGGCATTACAATCTCTTATTTTATCCTTCAAAATATCTACCGTCTTTACACGGTCTGCTAGGTGGATAGGCAGTGCTTAGGGTGTTAAGAAAGATGACATTACTTCGGAAAATTTAGCCCTTGGTGAATGAAGTGAAATTAAAATCTGGTCAGCATTCGGACCTCGTAGCTCAGTTGGTCGGTCGGAAACCCAGTGGTCCCTGGTTCGAATCCAACCGTGGTTCATTAACAAATCAGAATATAACTTTCAAGGGTTAAGTAATTATAGTTTATTCAGTTAACTTGAGTATTTCAGTGACGGCAAGTCTACTCTGAAACTGTTGCAATGCTCAGTTTTGACAATGTTATTATTGATATCAGGTCAATCATTGCTTGAATAACTCAATGGTAATGTCTCTGACTGTAGCATTAAGTGATATGAGTTCGAATTTCACAAGGGATATCAGTTCCATTGCGATTGCAGATCTACCATGACGACAGGCGCCAAAAAGCACGATACTGAAATTGAGCATGACTGCTTCTATCCAATTAATATCAATCCATTGTAATAGTTGTTCACTGTTCAAACATACATGTGACGTATACATGAGTTGTACATTCGAATTGTGAAATGCACCTGTCTATGTAACGGTATTCCTTACTAGTTATTACGCTGGTTTCACGCTACCTTGACTAGTACACTACCTTTAAAATACTGACATTATTATTACTGTAAATACTGGTATTTAGTGCTGTGTTATTGAGCTTCTATGAACTTTTCAGTGGGTCTGCTTGAAGTACAATTTAAATCATTATTCTTCTTGGGTTTTGTAGCAAATCTTAAGTACAGATAAATTAGTTCATAATTTATTTCTAAAAATAGCACACTTATTTATGTGGTTAATGTCTTTTCTGAGTTCTACAGTTATCATTTTTCCACTCCATCTATATCTGATGAGAAGTTTTGTTCTAATTCGATGAGTCCTTATGATATCATTACATGTTATTTCGAATTCATAGTAATAATACTCCGAATAAGACTTGTGGTACATTATTAAGTTCTCAGTATGTAAAATAGTTCAACGAATTCATTCTCTGTGCAATATCTTTAAGCGAAATAATCATTACATTTGAATCATGTCAATCCTGACAGTAAAAAAAAAGCCACAATGTGAAACAAGCACCTTATACTACATTATTTTCTAGTTTGGAATGATGACTAAATGAAATTGTCCAGCGTTATTTCCGTGAAGGTAGTTTATTCAACAAGTATCAAAATATGAGATTCCACATAGGTATCCAAAAAATAGTAATCTACTGTATCTCTGTGAATTTAGAAGCTCATCTCTTACCAATGTATCGTATATCCTTTATTTTGTTGTTAGCTTGAAAAAAACGACAGTTTGAAAGCATTCTAAAAGTGCGCGAGAGTAATTGATGCGTCTAGAATTCATAATTAAAAGATTAAAACAAATTAAAAGGGAAGAATTTGATGAAATGGATTAAGTGGAAATTTTTCAGTAGTCCAAAGTTTAAGCAGGTCACCTTGTAAAGTTCTTAATGAACTAATATTTGAAGGGGAAATGAAAATATGGACCGTGACCGGACTCGAACCAGCAACCACTGGGTTTCCACCCTTATGCTCTACCAACTGAACAACGAAGTCTGACCTCTGTCAAGATTTTTATTTCACTTCAATCACAAGGCAGGACTTTTCCCGAATACCATGTGAATTCGTGACACGTTACTACCACCTGACCGTACTCACACTGGTTGCCCAGTCAGGACTTGTCATCCCAATCCAAATGTAACTGAGCTGGAGAGGGGAAGCATCATGTTGTTTATAATTTTGACCATCTAAGATAGCAACGGTAGTTTAGCAGACTAGTATTGATACTGAGTGATGATTAAAGGCGAAACGAAAATTTAAACCGCGGCCGGACTTCGTAGCTCAGTTTGTAGCTCACCGGGCCAGAAACTCGGTGGTCGCTGGTTGGAATCTGGCCGCGGTCAAATCAATCATCACCCAGTTTCAATACTATTCTATCAAACCAAGTCTATCTCAGACGGTGAAAATGAGAACCGAAATTTGTTAATTTTTTCTGTTCTCCTTTGATACTTCAAGTATTTAAGGTTGCATACCTCTGATGAGAACTGATGAAATAATGAAACGGGTCTATATTATTCTACTTCCATGTTATTTCTTACTTTCTTCAAGGAAACATGTGTATTGACAGCAGAATACTTGATTGAGTTCGACAGCCTTCACAACTACTTATTAGTAGTATGAATGCCGAGGCGAACTTAAAGACTGATTCTAAGGCCTCTTATCACTAAGTCTACTAGTATTGTCTACATCATAACATGTCTAATATGTGATCTTAGAGCGGTAACCACTTTCATCATCAAAGAGTAGTGTCATTGTATACCAAATAGCTCGATTTTTAAAGTTGGATTAACTAAGCCAGATAAATTAGACAACAGGAAATTGTTTGCCCTCCAGTGACTACTGAACGTATTTAAGCCGATTCTACAGGAGTTAAATCGCTCTCCCGAGTATCTCAGTGGCAACGTCTCTGACTACTGCACTGGGTGGTATGCTGTCGAATGTCAGGTTCCGTCGAGGTAGCAACTACGCCCTGCTGACAAGTCCTAACAAGCACGAAACTTTGGTCGAGCTGGCCTTCCTCCCGATTACACCTATCTAACCAACATTTATCTCAGTACATCGCGATACCGAGCCTCCTAGCCTGGTAGCCACATTGCAAAATGATCGTTAGAATTCAATCAGTGCTTAGAACTGGACAACATGAAGCTGGTTACCCTCGAGTGACCGCTCCATCTAGAAATATATCATATTTCAAAGTTTATCCATTAGATTTCAATGCATTTTGATATTATCTTAAACCTTAGTGAAAATGTAGATAGTTGAATTGTGTCGACTGCTCGCGGAAACCTGCGACCATCTTGAGCAAATTTATTTTCACTCATTATCAAGAACTGTCCACTTTGGTACCGTCCCACTTCGATAAGTAACTATTTATTATGATTATTATTTATTTTCCCTTGGGTTCCTAATGGGACATAGGGCTTCAGCAGCACGCCTCCATTGCACTCTGTTCCCTGCAGTCTCGCTAACTTGGCGCCACAACCACTCACAAGCTTTCATATCTTCCTCACGCGATCTTCTCTATGTCACCATCGCCTCGGACGTACAACTCATCGTTCCCCCTTTTAGTTTCACTGGACCACCGGGTCTGGCCAGGAGCGTGATGTCTCCAGATGGTTTTCTCAGTATATGTCCAACCCAATCCATCTCCACTCTCTTCTGCATATTTGTTGGGCGATAGGTTCTTGGTTGGTT